CATGGCAGCAAAGCCAATGCTCGCTAGCTGGCTTTCCGCTTCTTGCCAATCACTAATAATTTCTCCCTGATAAGAAGACACGTTTTCATACCCTGAAAAGCGCCACTTACTACTTTCATGATGTCTGTAAAATTCACCACAGACAACAGTATTGGCTCCTCGTCGAAGCAATATGGAGCGGGCCAGGTGATAATAAATATTGCGCTAAAACTCTCTGCATTTGTGCTGGCTCCTTGACTACTCCAAATAACGTTCGTTTGCTTAGCCTTACCTGTAATAGTACCTACTATGTGAGTGCAGGTATTTATGCATACACCTCATTTTGTAAGTACTAAATAACACTGACGCTGTCTAGCCTGCACATAGGCACTTTCATAAGAGGTCGAACTTGGCATTTTCTGTAACGTTCTGCTTATCCAGCGTATCCCTGACTGGTGGCAATCCAATCAGCTTTTCGTCGAGAGATGATAAGTGATAAACGAGGAAAATTAGCTACTCTCAATAACTGCGGTTTGCATGCAAACCGCAAAAGAGACCGTGACAAAGAAAGAAAAAAGTCAACAAATGAGAATGCCAAGTGCTCCGGGCATTGGTCGATCCAAGATTGACCATGCAGCTATAAAGCTACAGTTTGCTGGCTTAGTTGATCTGATCGTTTCAATCATCGAGTACGCCAATACTCTACTCGAAAAAGCCAACAATTCTGCTAACCAGCGGAAACATGTCATCATGTGACCTTAGCTTTACGAGAACAAAGGAGAAATGCCTTATAAAATTGGCAAATAGCCTATTAGACGTTTCTTTCGGTTCGATGACGACGCAGCGGCTTTTAATCAAAATAAAAACTCGAGTGTGTAGAATATAGACGAACGTTGAAAAGGAAGAAAACTAGATTATTTTCATTGTTGTCAGGCCAATGGCCTTAACTGTAAACAGGCAGTTATATCTCTTTCTCTACTATTTTTGGACCTGCCAGTGTATAATCACACGCGGACAGATTAAATGAGTAACGAATTCAGTGACAAAGGCGACTGTTGTTATTTTTTCATTAAGCTCGTTTGTACTAGAAGAAAACTTTGGCTACCGATCGCTGTAGTGTTGTTTTTTACTACTCCCCTACAGTCGGACATAGTTCATGTAACGAAAAATTCAAAATGTTGCGTGACTAATTATCGAAATGTACCTTTGTCGTCGCCGTCGTCACGTTCAGCCGTGCCTCAAGCATTGGGTTTTTGTGGTAAAACGTGCATCGGGTGTCATGCTACCCTCATCGAAAAGATGTCTTAGTCACGTCCAATTTTAGGGCTCATTGCACGCTTGATCACGGTCAAAAGAGTGAAATTTTATACTCAGCTAGTTCAAGCATATTTAATTCCGTTCAGTTTGGCGCGTCGGGAGTAAGCTTTCGTGCCGACTGTGACTGTCGACCTACACCATCAGTAAAGGTAGAAGAGCAACTCAGCCAGGATACTACTGTATTCAAGTACTAAACAGGGTATTGACCCAGACACACGTCGTAATCGAGTAGAAGCCCAAAACCTGACACAAGCGAAATTGCAGCAACCTTTCTGTGACCATGAACACAAAAATGTTTCTTCTAATGAAGTATCTCGTGCGCGATCATCAGCCTAAGGCCAACAGCTTTGGGAGTGGAATAGATCATGGTTTATTGAAGGTGGCACGAACGTTAAACCGCCACAGTTCTAAGTGCTGGAGTCGACCGCCAATCAAGCTTCATATAGTCGCATACCAATAGCTGTAACAACTGACCATAGATATGATAGCTACGATGGTTAGATTACACCTACGTGCATCTCCGAGCCCTATTTTGCGTACGCGGTTATCACATCTGATACTGGCGTCGCTTCATTGGCGTCTACAAACTCTTTGCGTGGCTTATTTGAGAACAGATTACTCGCTTACTATTCCCAATTATCCACAGCGGTGGTGCCGGTAGTAAATACACAGCAGCAGTACGATAATATTCGTGAATTTAAACATGGCGAATGGTTTTCGGGCGCGCCGCTGTACTCCTCGTGTTGGCTGACTGGCTGCCTGCTTCAACGGTCTGGACCCCAACAGAGCGTCATTCATAGAGGGCTGCAACTGTCCTTCACCAGCAACATCAAGCAGTCTGGTGCTCAAAAGCATCAACAGCAACTGGGCCGGATTAGCTTTGTGGGTTGGGTGTGCGTACTTGGCTTGGGTTGCGCCGCATACCCGGCAACAGGAGCAACCACCATTATGGCCAACGATGATGATCGTCCGGCTGCCTGGATCAGCGTCACTGGCTGCCGGGACTAGTTCGGCCTGCCTGCCTTTCTGCATATGGCGATCTTTGATTGCTAAAAGCTGCACTACTGCTGTTCGTCACCGCTCGAGGAGTACGAGAAGCACCACTATCTCTACCAGATTCGCTGGCTGCTTGGCGGGCTGGCAGCAGCTGCTTAACCTCGGAGCGAATGACAACAACGAGCCAAAAGAAATGCTAGAGGTAGGAGGCACAGTAATAATAGATGGAGTTGTAGTACGGTGGAGTGAAACTACGCGGCTTCGACATCAACCTACCTTGATGGTCCTCGCTAGCTTGCTCAGCTAAACCAGTACCACGCACTGACTGCTGTGATATACACATAGACACGCTGGCTCGAGCAGAATTAGCACTACTAGTGAAGCTGACGGGAGGAGCTGCACACAGAGCCTTGGACGTTTATCAAGAACGATTCAATGGCCTAGATGATGTAGGGCGCAGAGCGAGTGCAGCCGACTTCATTGTAGGAACCGCGGACCTTCTATCTGTCGATCTTCTAGACGAGGCGACTAACCAGTATATCCACTATAACAACAATACAGATTCCCACATGCAATATGCAAGTGGTGCGCGCACAATTTTGATTTAAGCCATAGAGTTACGGCCGAGACCACTATTTGCAATAGGTCCAATTTGCCTTTCTAACGTCTGTGTAAGGCGACGAGTATAAGTTGATAAGGATAGGCGAAACATGAACATAACATGTTACACAAAGTCAAGCTGAACCGAGCAGGGAACAGCAGCGGCAATCATTGTATACCTATTGACAATATGTTCCAACGATAAACATGAAAATAGATTAACTGATGTTAGCTGAAGACAATCGGCTCCGTATCCCAACAGGGACAAGTATAAACTCACCAGCGATACAGAGATCTTTCTTGGAAATGACTAGATGTGGTATCTCTGAAATGCTTCCAGTTGGTTCTAGGACAGCTTGCTCTTGAAGTTTACTATATCCATAAAAATTAAAGTGAACAATGTATACCTAATATGTATTTTGCCTTCATCAACAGATACACAATGACGTTAATAGCTGGCCGACTATCTGGAGCTAATAACTGTTGCCTTCACCACAGCTTCGAGCGTGCAAGTGAGTTCATCCGGCAAAATACTCGCCAACGCAACTTCAGTTAGTGAAGTGTTTGTTATATAATGAGTAAGACTGATTTGTAACAGATATGCGTCGTCGTCTGTGCACCGGAATGTTTCTGGACCCACAAGCAACTCATCATCGGCGTATTATATCGTACTCAACGATGGACGGTATAGTGAATTTTATTGATCAGAATATTAATTTCCTATGCAAACGCTCAACGGCAATTCATCTTCGTTGACTTGCCATGTACCGAAAAAGCATATTGCACATGAGTATGAGATGATCATATACGTATGTGTGTGACCGTACGAATGGTCGGCACGCACCTTCTCGTTCAGCGATCGATCGAGTGTAACCAAACAGGACGGCATGGGCCGACTGATTGGTCGCCTGTTCAACAATCCTACAGCAAAAGTAAAAAACATCCGTAGAGGTGGCCGGAGCGGCAGTGCCACTATCGACAGAAATAGTAGTGCGACGAAATCCGTTAAAAGCAAACGACAGCAAAGAAAAAACAGACTTTCGACGACACTGCTGAGCCAAACCCAGCGGCTTTCGATCGAGAAGTGGATGGAGGCCAAGAAGCCAACGAGTGTGCGCGGCGTCAGCAGCACTAGCAACCACTGGCGTCGCTGGCTACGGCGAAAGTGCTGCTGTTGCCGCAGCAGCTCTTGCTGCTGCCGCCACCGTCGTCAAGACGACAAGAACGTGAACCCGGTGAAAATAGAAAGGTGGTTGTGCTGTAGCTGGTTTTGCCATCCCTCCTGCTCTTGCCATCGACCATCGATTCATCTGTCCGTTGATCCGTCTGTGCGGTCTATTGCGCGCTTTGGCGACGACCACTTGCCAGAATCTACCGAACGAAGAAAAAAGCAACTGAGAATTGGTGCCTATGGCGCGCCAAACTGCCACTACCGGCTGGTAGCCATGGTGAAAACGTAGGTATTTCTGTGCGGCCGAACAGCGCAGCGGAGACGAATCCAACAGCCAGCTAAAGATCTTCGCACAACGTACACTGCCGACAGCGACAGGCACAACAAACGAATGAGCGAGGAATCGAAGAGCTTTTCGACAAATAACGACGGTAGCACAACGACACCTAACGGCGAAGGAAGCGAAAACAGTTCAGTGACTACGTACGCGTTCCGGTTAAATTTGCTCGTGACCTATACAAGCACACACACAGACGGTGATCTCGTGGCAGCAATACGCGATATCCTTAAATGATGATAGAAGTACACAAAATAAATGGAGAATTACGAATAAATGTATAAATGCATGTTTAACTGACGCGTGGATTTAGCGTACATCAACAGTCCATCTAATGGACGCGATATCACGCTTGGCTCAGCTTACGATGTTTCAACTGTCCGTACGCAGGGAAACGTTACTTGAAAAACACATGCTAATTACTATTTGAAAAACCTAATTTATTCGTGTGCTCATCGCCGGAACACGCTTTGTCGACAACAGATTTGGTAACAAGAACATTCCTTAACAGCGCTAACGATTCGAGCTCATGGGTGCGAAATGAGTTTATTCATTGATGCTTTTGTTGTTGTTGATATCATATGCATTGGTCTTACTTACCAGCTACGAGATGCACGCCAGTAATGGCCACAAGTATAGTTATTATTCCTAATAGACACTTCATATTGGCGTACGGCGTCTTTGGTGTCACTCTCACGAGAGACGACACTCAAAGTGCCCGTGCTCCAACGTTGAGTGGTCGGGCAAGCTAGCTCGCGGTGTGCTATTAATCCACGATGTTTTCGTTCAATCTCCCATCGTTGCAATAGTATCCCTTCTTTCATACACACCTCGTTTCACACAACTGAATTTTTTTCACGCACTTTGTCTTGCAGCAATTTAAAACACCTTTTCTGTCTAATTAGTGATCGTAATCGTTTCAACGTAGGTAATCAACTAGCTTTTGCTTGCTAGTTACTTCAATAGGGTACCAAAAGGCAATTCCGAAGATTTGTCCACATAAAAAATATCTGAATATTAGCTCGAGATCACACAGGCAATGTGCTAAACCTGCAGAAACTCATTCAACCAAACTTGTGTTGTTGTTGTTGTTGCTATTTGTTTAGTTCGTTACGAAGACGAGCCGCGGCGATTCGATGCTCACTATGGCCTGGACGACTCTGTTGGGTGGTCGAATACGCGCCATGACGCTCATGAGTTAAGCCCCGCCCCCAACGAGCGGCGATCGTTGCGCACCAAGCGGATCTCTCAAGAAACTCACGCGCTAGCTAGCTTCAATGCCTTATGCTAGTGATGATGGTACAGTATTCGATCGGTCTGTCCGTAGGTCTCGGCTGATCATGAAGTTTTTAGTGGTGATGGTGTTGCTTATTGGACCTGTGGCAGTGGCGGTCGCCAGTCGTCGGTGGTTGATTGCGAGCGCCGCACTGATTCCTGTAGCAAGAGACCTTCGTCGACTTTGAGTACGCTCAATACCCCAATAAACACTAATTAGCGGGTCAGGTTGAAAAAAGCATATAAAAATAATGAGAAATCATTTGGGTCTTAAGTGGAAACAGTCACCGAAAATGCTTATGAACCGAAAATGATATTTTCAGCGCTTTACGATGTAAATAGAAGGCGGAACGAAGCGACGTCTAGCGGTCGATATAGAAAGTGACTCCTTTGTGGGAGAGATCCATCAGCAAGACACGCAGCGCTACCTATCAAAACGAATGAGAACTATTCCGTTTGATCAAATTGCTGTGACGCGTAAATAGAAACGAAGACAGATGCTTGAGTTTCCAGGAAACTGGCAGTCCGAGCGGAGGTGTGGAATTGGTATCGTGTAGGATGCTGAAGCAGGAGAGAAGTTTCTGGAGTAAGGCATATCCTTGAGGGATAATAGCGACTGTATTGGTTAACGCTGGTAGACGGTGGCCGGTTAAACCGAAGTCAACGTTTTATGCACTTTTTCTCTAAACAGATAGTTGGGACAAAGTTTTTAGAAGAAAATTTTCTGAGGTCCCTACTTATCTGGATGGTAAGACGCTAACGAATACGCATACGCTGATGTAGTTGAAATTATTGGCTGAGAATTTCGTCTGCCGATTAAAGAAGCAAACCGATTCAAACTGACGTAAAGTTCGGTCCCCTCTACTCAGATGATCAGTACAGACTGGTAAAAATGTAGGTAAGACAAATTATCGTGTACAACGCGGACAGCATTACTTGAGCAATGGAGTAGATTTTTATTAGTGAGGTATATTATCTCGTAACTTGAACGATGAGTTCGCACGAGTCAGCACTTAACCCCGTTTGACAAACAACCCTGAAACAACAAGTTTCATATAGATTGGTGATTTTTGTAGTAAGATTACTGTCACGGCGCGAGTTAGTGCTGTAGTTTTTCAGACCATATGTACGTCATTATCAATGTGAGGATGACGTACTAGAGATACTGAAGCGGAAGTTCAATACCGAACGTTTCGTCCAGGGTTGTTATTAGCGCTCCACAGAGGACGTCTACGTAGTTATGACTTATCTGGCGTAAGTATTGTTCTGTGAAATGAAAAGTTGGCGATTTTGGAAGAAGTAACATTGTATTTAGAAAGGCCAACAGCCTTCGCAATGCAATAGTACCTCGATTTTGTCTTAATAGCCGAAATAACTAACGTTTATTTCGGCTATTTTATGTCATTTTAGGTTGGCTACACTTGTGCTAGTCCTAAGGCAGCCTGTAGGTCTATTTCCAAGAACTTTTTCAATTACTTCGATTCGAGGACATATACAGTATAAGGTGTAAAAGCTTATATGCCGTCCATGTTGCATGCGCTCACTAAATTGATATATATATATATATATATACCGTTCATGCAACCTGTGTGAATAAAATTAGTTATTGACCTTAATCAGTTTCCATCGAATATCAATGATATTGGAGTGCGCCAGTAACGTTGTAGGACGCCAAATATAAACAGGGACTCTCGTTTCTCTCCAAACTATAATGGGTATTTTCTTAGAAGGGCTATTGACTTAACCGAGTTCAGCCCACTAAAACCAAGTTTTAGTTCTGAAAGTAAGACTCGTCAGCAAATCATCCGCCAACTTGACATGACTACACAAGCCTCGTCAACTTACTTTCTTAAAACAATGCTAAATAAAAGCGTTACAACAGCTATATTATCGTTACACCCACAAATCCTAGAGACGGAGCACCAAAGATTACTACTGTTTGCGATACTCTCTTATGGAATGATTCCAGTGTCTTAATGCGTACCCAATTTCATATATTTAGAGACACATTTTACATATAAGGCGAAATTTAGCAGATTGAAGACCTCTCTTCTCGAACTCTGGTACATTTGGCAATGCTATTTTTTGTTACAATTTTGTGAACCACTTGTTACTCGAATCTGCTACTCGAGTTTTTCGGTGATATCGAGCAAACACAATGTATTGAACGTTTCTCCCAAATTAAGTAACAGGTTTTGCATGAAAAACAAAATATATCGCATAAACACTCCGCAAATGCGGAAGCCAGATACTGAGTACAGCTCAAGCAAACGCGTGGCTTAAGCGTTTCCAAAACGAACGGGAGTCAATTAAGGACAATCCTCACTCTGTAAGGCCTGTGACAGTTGTCACTGGCGGGAACGTGGCAAATGTGAAACAACTCGTGCTTGCAAACCGCTAAATCATCTTAATAGCGCTGGTAGAAAAAATAAAAACTTAATTTATATATATCAGGCAATTTTGATGTACCATTTAGGCGCCAGAAGGCGTGCGGCAAACTTTATGCAAAAACAACTGAAAATCCAGCATATGAACCCTATTGTAAAAACTTCTAGGCGCTTCTCGAAGACACTTGGTAAACATCTTACTACAAGTGCGCAGAAGCGTATTTGGAAGTATGCGACGAAAAGACCATGAAGCAGTCCTTCAAAACTCTGTTCAAAACCCGAAGAGAGTCGAACAACCTAGGTCCTTGAACTAAGGTGCACTTTATGGTCAGGGAAGGCTTCTTCAGTTTTCTTAGAGTCAATGCTGTCCGGTACCATGGTCAAAGAGTACAGTTAAGAAGTTCCATTAACATTGCGCGAGTTTATTTAACACAAGAGACCAGAACTGGGGCACACCAAGTTCTGGATCCTCGACACGATAATCAATAGGCCAACACTTCACTATACATACAGCAGTGTTTGCAAGAGATTCTATGTATGTGTTGCCCGAACCCCCGTATTGATTGTACCCAGTTCCTTGCAACGTTCCCCAGTTTTCTTTTGAAAGGGAGCGTATTGATGCAGTAGAAAAACTAAAAGAATAATCTTTGAGGGCTATCGCAAAGTGTCTTGAGAACTGGAAAAAATGGTGACATAAGTGTTTTACATCCGGCGAAGAGTACTTCAAAAAAAGCAGCTTTAGTTGGGGCAATTAAATATACGATGTCTCGCAACAGGTATGTATTACGTATGCGATTAGATACATTAAACTTTTGTCTCGTATTTCTTTAAAGCATGAACTCCAGCTTTTATTTAGGATCTATAAAAATATGAATTTGTCCGCTATGTTTGATGGTGTCTGCCCGACGTTCTAACAAGTCACCGGCAAACGTCACCGAATTTTGTCTTCTGAAAACGGCGTTCGTTGTCTCAATACGTCGGCTTGTATACATTATAGTTTGAGATTTTATGCAGTAATCTTTGACGTAATGAAAGCAATGAGCGAATGAGCGCTATCTCGAAAAATGCCGCAAGTAGGGTCCCGAAAGATCTGTAGTCAGTACCATGCGTAAAAAGAAGCAACTTCAACGGTGCGACTTCTTAATAGACGATAGATATTGGCTACACTCCAGTATTTGCTGGTCCAATTGGCGGTTGTTGAGCTCTTAAAACCATGAGGCACACAAAGTTTGACATATCCTTCGGCTTGTGAAGTAATTCTAACGACTGAGAGTTCTGAAAATATTTTTTTTTAACAGAAAATAGATTTCCATCCTGAAACGCTGTTATTCCAGGTGTACATTCTGTCTTTCTAGGCCATTTGGATCGCGGCAATTAAGCATCCTTTTTTTTAAATAAATTTTTCACTAAGCTATCGATACTTTGTGTTTGTACATGTGGCTTATCCACATTCTGTGCTGTCTCAGTTCATTCTAAAAAAACGAATCGCCGTTATATACCGGTGCTCTTCATTTGAGGTCTCGTCTCTCTCGAGCACAATCCCACAAGGACAGTCCGACAAATTTATAGCAGGCGAATAGTCTTCAGCTTACAGCATGCGCGTGGCATGTTTTCCTCGTTCGGTAATATGTAACATATTCTTCCCGGGTGAGCACACACACACAATTTCATCAAAAAGGTCTTCTTGTAAACATCTAATACGTACTACTAGAATATGTATTCGGATGAGCACTATTTCTAACCTATACCTGCTTTTCAACGTTTGAATGAAAATTTCATCTATGAAATCGATCCAAATCTGTTAGTCTAGCCGGATCATGTGACTCGTAAATAATAGAAGAAGAGTGATTATGCGGAAGTCCAAATACATTCAAAATAAACACACACACAAAAAGGGCAACTGTATAACTTTACGATTTCAGAATGAAAAAGGTCTTTCTGGCAGACTTGGCTTGTTCATTCAATGACGAAGGTGGCAGTTCAACCTTTTCGACGTAACGACTAATCTTTCGAGTAGTAATACCGGTTTTAAGGGATATCCTTGCGTAGACGGAAGGCCTTATTCGTTAACCGTGTAGCACAATTGGGATGGATATCGAAAAATGATGATTTCGAAATTGCGTCTACTCGATTTTATCTCGTCGATAAAGGTACTCTGCTCTATGAAATGACACTCATGAGAAGTCTGACCTGACCAAAAACCAAAGTACAACCGGCGACGTATATATGGCCCATATTGTTAGCAGGGTAGGCCTTGTTCCTGTTTTCTCTCTAGCGTGCTGAACGTCGATAGGAATTTGTTAAACTTTCGGTAAAAATTACTCTGTAGTGAGCTAGGAATAGAGTCGGAATGAATCATTTAGTGCGTCCTATCTTCTGCCCACAATATGTATACCTATAGCCGAACGCTTTCAAACGTGCTGATATCATGCTACACGTCAGCCGTAAATTTCTGTCCAGTTGGATGCTGCGTTATGCGTTCCTATTATTACGTCATACCCTTAATTTAGGTAGTATAATTTAAATGATGTACTCGAACAATGTTGATTTGTTCCTTAATTACTAACTTATCGATCGCTGTTTGAGAACACGTATACAATGGTTGCTTTAAAATCTTCACAATAACTTTGCAACAACAACTAACTTTTTTTCTTAATACACAATTAGTAGAAACCTTTTGTAGCTGTTTTTAGTGAGAAACAGTCTTCTTCAAATTAAATCTTAATAGTTTTCGGCAATTTCAGCGTAAAATCAAGCATGGAAATATGCAGACGTACACTATTCAAAACTTTACGGAATGGCATTATTTGTTAGAAAAATAATCTATTTGCAAACATACGAAAAACGCTAAACTAAATTGGCAAAAATTTTGGTGCCTCTAGCGTAAATGATAGGAAAGCTTTTCTATTCGGCCTTCGCCTGCTACGCCGAGTATACAGAAAGAGAACTTAATTACTTCAATAAAGAAACAATTAATTCACATTTTTTTTTATCTGTTAGTTTTTTTTTTTCGGTTTTTCATACCTACTTGTTTTTGCAAAGTCTGTAAGTTGTTCACTCTTAATCTGTAAATATATAGATATCCATCCTGTTAAAATACATTTCCCTACCATTCGAACAGTATAGCCAAGTAAAAAAAACGTTTGCATACATTCCGTCACTTATTTTAAGCGTATATATGTATATAACTTGTTGAAGTTTTCACACTATCCACCCAAACTGGAATTTTCGGCTGGTCGTTACATAAGCAGCTCTTTTCGTCCTTGTCTAATACGCGCTCGCCCGTTCTATGGGATTCATGACTTTGCGAATGGCAAGCTGGCAGTCTAGAAGAATCAGAAATGCCTTGTAGCGTCGGGAATGAAGCTCAGCTACGGCTTGATCAGGCCAACGGATTGTTGCTCTACCCGACATCTCCCTCATACTTTCCCATAGATCCTGAAAGCAGCCCAAGGCGCGGGCAGCAAGTACGGCCGCTCCTGTAATGTAGATAAACGGATGGGAGGGTCGTAATAAAGTAGATCAATTTAGGAAGTTTGACCCCCGCGTCTTACTCTGTATTGCGGACAGATTATCAATCTGTCCTGTCTGTCTGAATTTCAGCTCCTAATTAATTTGAATAATCAAAGAATTGGCTCTCCACGCAGAAACACGTTAACTTGGCCGACTAATGACCAAGCCAACTGTTCGGTACTCCGAAAATGTGTCTCAGTTTCACGCAGAACTTCCGGAAATACTTTACAAAAAAAAATACCAGCGCAATAATTTTATTAAATCTTAAGCATGAATCAGCCTGAGCGAAATCTATAGTGTTTGCCCATTTAAATTGGAGCCGTTTACTCTAGAATGATTTGTTAGTAAGAGATTTTTTGCACAATCCAAATAAAAACTATTGTTGATATTTTGTTTATCTGGTAAGTGCCGTATAAGTCTTACCAAGTACTTTACATTTTTTACAATTTTTACTTTTTTTAATGATTTTTAATGATGATAATTTTTTACAAATTTTTTTATTATAATTCCAAAGACTTACGTATGTGACGTACCAATTAGAACGACTTCGTTTTCGTCTGGCACGAGGACGGGTCGTTGGAGGACGTTCGCGTGCGCAGCAACATAAAGTGGGTTATTAATTAGTCCCCCACAAAGAAGCAGCGACTCAACTCGGTGGCCTTGCTTTTCCAGCTGATCAACAATCTGTTTCGTCTGATAAGCTAGGGCTTGGACACCCGCTAGAAATAATATTGCCAAATCTTCCTCGGTATTCGACAGTTCGAGGCCTATCAGCATACAAGAATCACAGGGATATGAGGAATAGAGAATATTTAATGGTTGAATTTCGACAAGAGAACAGATTCACAAAATTACGTTTTGAAAAGTGAAGTTCATTTAAAAGTAGCAACCGACATTTAAGGGAAAAAAAATACGTGGAAGAAAGTTATTGGAGCACATCGACCAGCGAACATCGTCTAATTACTGAGTAACTATTTATAGTTTTCAACGTGCTTCTGTTCAATCGGTACGGTCGACTTGCGCTCTGTGTGACAACAAGTTCCGTAGTGACGACGGACTACACAAGTTATTAGTTTTAGAAAGCCAAGGCCCTTTGGTGTAGTCAAATCATACGGCCGTGGCATGCTTGCGCCTTTTTTAGTCTTCGTTCGTTGTTGAGTAACTTGTCTTTAAACGATTATCTTTTATTATGATTATTATTATTTGTTAAGATTAATATATCTTTATTAGCATTTATTTATATTAGCTTATATACCTGAAATCATGCCCCGCATGTTTGGGTCAGCCAGTGGTGATCGGTTTCCATGATAGTCTGGATAGACATGTAAATCTTTGGTAAGTTCATCAACTGAGCATCTGTTTGATGAGGCCATATTCTCGAGAATTTGAGTCACAAACTCCACAATATGTAGACCGAAACGTTTCGAATTCTCCAATGCTTCATTGTAGCGGCTGTGCGTCATCAGCAAATGATCGAGGAACATACCCGATGCTGACTGTCCTGCTTCAGCTAAATACAGGTTTGGAAAAATGGCTCCCTCGTACGGACCCCAGACTCCTATTCACGAAGATATCAGTAGTGGATCAGTTTGCGAACACATGTTGATGGTTTCTTGGAACCGTAGCAGAAACCGTATCGGCATATAACTGAAGCCGTTATTACTCCATTTTTTACTTACTCCACTGAGAGCAGCGTTATTAAACAAAATTTTCAATCTCTATTGACTTCACTATTAAATAGGGTACCCGGTTCAGTCGGGACGTGCTGCTGGTATATGCATACGAGACAGCAAGTAGCATAAAATGCATTACTTGATTATACATGAAATATTTCATCCATGGAGCAGGTCTATGACATATACTAAATCCATATAAAACGTACCATTTACAAATATTTCTTTTTTACTGAGCAGCATATGGCAGGTTGAGGTCCCCGCGATCAAGCATAACCTAGTGGTAGGTTCGGAGCTGACACCTTTAGCAAACGCCCCTAGCATTCCCAGCACCCCAGCATGGGCATCGATTACTGAGGCTCCTACTTTTGTCTGACTACTCAACCCGAGATCCTTGACCGCATTTTTGCTCAACGTCCCCAGGAAATCACCCGGATACCGAACCTCATTTTGCTTGCCGATTATCTCCGGGTTGTCGGCTATTTCCTCCAGACCGATTTCTCGCCAAAAAGCCTTGTCCCACCCTTTTTGGGCGTCATACGTCCATTTACATGTCAGAGAGCATAGACTTCGCGAAAGGGAACCTGTGGCCCTACGGGCAAAGGAACGAAGGTTGAACATTTTGACTTTAAATTGAAAAGTTTATTAGACAATCTTCTATTGGTTTTCATTTTACATGATCAAACAAGCTTTGCGCACTTGTCTTGTACTAACTACATTATCAGTTTATTAGTTTAAGCTCCCACTCCAATAGTATCTATGTTTTTTTAACTGACGTATTTGTACGTACCTTTTAAATCCGAATATGGGTTCGATCCATGCTTGAGCCACGCACTTATAAAATAGACTCAACACAACGAAAGGGGGTAAATAGAGTTTAGCAACATAGCTATACCTGTAGGTGAGGTAGTCTGGCAAGTCGAACGCGTGCTTGATCCTTTGGAATGAATGGGGCATGTGTCGCTTTAACCACAAAAGTCTCGGGGGTTCCATTTCGGGGGAGATACGTCCTCCTACCCGCCTAAGCACCTGGTAACCTCCTCGATTTATTAGTTCAGCTTCGTCGCGCGCTCGGTGATCACACCACATGATTACGTTGAATCGGTCATCCCCGTCTGCCGATACCGAGACAGGCCGGCCTTCAACGTCGACAATTGCAAGTGAGCACGTGGCATCAAATCCGATTCCTAGTAAAATACGGTCTCGACTTAAAAAGGTTTGCAAGCAGACTAAACGAAACTGAAAGACTTTCCAGCTTCGTTTAGTGTCATGACTTGCTAAGCCCCTCTAAAAAATCTAAAAGATTACAAATTCACAAAATTTGATTCTTCTTTTACCTGACTTTTTGGAAATAAGGTACGTGGTTCTATATTCTCTTCTGTCACAAAAATAAAACAATAATAAAGTAATTAGCCAAACGCGAAAAAAATAGTATAATAACGGAAAAAAAAGTTCTGAAAATGAAGACATTTAAAGCAACGAAGATAAAGGTAACCTTTAATATCGTCCACACTAACTGACGAGACCACCTCACGTACGCATTCACAAATAGCATTCCAAATCTGAAAAGTATCATGGCGTTGCTGTAACCTTTGCATATATACTCTGCATTACCGACATCAGAAATAGATAGACACTCACAGTAAGACTTGGAAAGAGCCAGCGCTGAGATTTCATAAAGCATACCATTGCAAAAGCAGGATTTTTTTCAGGTTCTACGTATATAGAGAATAGATCTTGTTTGCGTACCACAACGCAATAACGGACGGGCATTAGTGAACTTCAGAAATACCATACCAATAGGTCATAGTGTCGAGATACCTGGTCTGCGTTTTGTTCGAAGATTTCTCCCTTTTGTTCCCTGACCTCGAGGGGACGATCTGCTTTGCGAACGAGGTTGCCTGGAAACCCAAACAAGTATCAATGATCGGTCCGAACAGAGAATGAATAATTCGCAATTGAATGGTGTTCGCGTTGAACTGTCAATCCCGATTTTCTAGTTCTTCTGGTTCAGTACACACCCACAAGTCTATTTCAAGGCTAAACTAGCAAGTCAAAGGAGACTGATCCTATTGAGTATTGAGTGCACGAGTATGTGCCTGTTATGCATATTATGGAATGAGGAAAAACCTCAGCGGTTTTCTTCTGTCTTCGACTGTTTTCATCGGTGTTCCGCAACTTAATAGTGCGATCTATCCATATATAGCGTTTGCAATGGAATGGATGTACCTTACCTCTCAATGTAACGAGCGCAGCTCTAGCTGACCTTGAACCTACATCGACTCCGACAACGAATGAAGTAGCCATCCGTAGGCGTTTCGCCGACAATAAGTTGCGCAAACTGGAGACTAACTGCCGCTAGCTGAAGTTAAGACGGGTTCTGTTGGACCTGCTGGCTGCCCATTTGTCGTAGTCGGGGACCGAACAGAAGAACTTTCAGCACCGATGGCCAGCGGACCTGCGGAAAACTTCGGCAGGTCACGGGTTTCGTTTACCGCATGCGATATTCACTGAGAAATAATTATTCCAGCTAATTATTCACTTCTGTCCACCCTCATGTCTAAATCAATCGTTACCTTTGCTACGTGATCCCAAATTGTAACTGCAGTGGCTTCATGAAAAAGGATAATGTTTTTTTGTTCCGTGTCCGGAGTTGCGTTAGCATTACATCGAGTAGCTGGCTTCCGGCATGAAGCGAATATCAAACAGAACCCTATCAAGCTTATGCTTGGTACGTGGTCGTACTTTCGGAAAGCCACGCTCTGGCAATTAAAACTTTATGCCAGTTCTTCTGAAGGTGGATTGTCTGTGCTGTAACTGTTAAAGCAACGAACAGACCATAACTAAGACCCACGACAGATGACTATATTGAACGTGGTGCAGACACGACGAATAGAAGTTCATTGGTGGATTTCAATTATCTAATTGCCACGGATACTTCCAATGCATTCAGTTTTGCAATCGATATGGCAGCCGCATAACTTCATAATAGTTACCTAATTCAATCACTCGATATATAGAAGCGATGCGCGGACTCTAGTCCCGTTACTTCTATATTTGAAATGATTGATACGCCTTGACAAGTGTTTGCCACATAGTATTCAGCTTACCGACGGCTTGTTGACCATGAATTGTTCCTCATACATGAGGAGGTCGTCTCTCATATGTTAATTGATAGCAATTATTACTGCATTAGTGTTGTGCGTGAAAATCTGGTGCAAACATTTTGTTGGACGCACTTCGTTGTTGTTACTGAGTAAGGGACAAGTTATGGCCTAAAGGATATCGGTAGTATTGTCCAAACAAGGAGAGCACCATTGAACAACTGTAAAATCTACAGTAACTACTAGATACGAGCGTTTCTGCACGATAATACATGCTAAGTCAATGCGGCAGACCGAACACTATAGTTTCCCTTATCTTATTTTGCCGTTCATTATAACTAAGTTCTTTATTGTGCTTGCTTTAATGTTTTTTCTTTCGGCTTTTTTTTTTATATGCTAATGCTCTCGTATATTCGGATATTTATTGCTCTTTAATTATCGATTACTATTATTAGCTTTCTAGTTCGCCCCAGGTATGACCTGATGGTAAGGAAGTGTTCTGCTGGTTTGAACTTATGCGCCGACCTAATGGCGCGTAAGGCACTGGAAGACAACAACTCATCCACTTAGATGAAACGGGGCGACTGAGAGCTATGGTCCCTTTCGGGTCACTATTTCTAGAAAGTTTCCTCCGGATTTCAAGAAATCTGCTTCTCTTCAACTAAGTAACGAGATAAATTGTTTTCATTTTTTACTTAATCATAGCCATTTGCGGTCCATTAGATGCCATGAGAAATGCGGCATCGATGTGTAAACGGCAATTTTTTTCTTATATTCTCGACAACAACACATATTCAGAATAGTCACCTACAGAAAAGATTAGGTTTCGTAATAAGCACGAGTAGGCGGCCGCTGGTACCTTCTTAAGCTGACGATACAAACCTATAATTCGCAATGCATCTTACTCAGTATGACATGCGTGGTGTTGAAAAGGACGGACTAGCGAACAAGGATAGGAACCTTGTTTATGTTACACAGCGGCTTGGCTCGTATAGAACGCATTTACTCTAAGCTGTAGATTGATTGTACGATGCACTAGCACTACGTGTGCTGCTTCTCTCACCCCTATTCGATGTTGTGCCGCGTAAAAAGGTATGGTAGATATGTTTCTGTTGATTTGTCTTTATCACTCTTTAGATCTCACTTTATCACTGAGTTAGACGCCAGTGAAGGACGATATAATACCGACTTACCAATGAAACTAGATGAGTGGCTATTAAGCTGATGATCGTTCGATATCTCCTTCATGCCATATAATGATGTATGATGAATCGAGTACGCGTATGCATCGGCGTTGATGCCAAACGTCGACATCGAGGCAAACGCTAAACTCTCGTAGTAGCCGTTTCACAATACATGCTATATTATCACGTAAACTTTGACGAGAGTGCTCTTACTCTTGTTCCCTATTAAGACGGCTCCGAGCTGAACCCTGACATACTTCATTTCTAGTACAAAGCTACTAACTAGAATGAAATCTAACTGACTAATCTAGTTAACTTGCAAAATCGAAGCATTTAGGTGTCTGAGGCAAGTTTCAGATGTTCGATTAGACCCATGTTTCGAAATAGTTGAAATCGTAACCCATATCATACTAAGTTAGGTGCACTGCGAACTATTGGTTAGTATCGCCAGCTCAAAGGGTGCACTGGTCATTCCTGGCTCCCGGTGACAAAAAGTTTGTCCTTAGATAGTGAGTGATCATTCTTAAAATAACTTTTTCCTGCTTGAATCTCTAGCCAATCTACTGTTAACGCATTTGATTTGTAATGACTTTGGCTATGCCGTTGTAACGCGAAACTAACCAAAGATAGTTAAAACGTTCCTATTCCAGCTCTATTCAGTTCCTGTAACTGACGCAGACGATGGCGAGGACACAGTTTACAACAGAGGCTGTCTGATGTGGCAAACGTAACTAATAGGCCGCTAAGAGTAATAAGGATACCGTATAGCTGTTTTTCGAAAACAATAATTAACTGAGAAGTAGTTTTACATGCGAGTCATTTACATTGTTCTATATAAACGAACCTATCCACCAAAATTTTCACGTGCGATAATACCTGTACGAACTTGTCGAACATTCAACTATGGCGTGCAGCTACATTCTGAACCCACGTATTGTTCAGTGATTTGCCAATCGATTGTCTTTCTATATGTAGTGTTTCTTTTTTTTAGGTAGGCTTAAGCAACCGATATCATTGAAAACTACTTGAATAGATCTCAACCGTCGGTTTGTAGCTAGCAGCGTCTGTCGACACTTGTGTACGGAACGTTAAACGGAATAGAGTGTAGTAATCTACTGATGTCATTAACTTTTTGAATCTGTATTCTTACTTTAGAAGTTCAAAATAAGTTGAGCTGGTCATTCGTTGCCCGGCAATCTCCTCCGGCGGATTTCGAAGCGTTTGCTTCTATCGCCAAATGTATTAGAGAAAGCCATTAGCGATAAAGAAATAAACTCTCATACCGTTATTTCAGATCCTACGGGTTCGTTTTCAATTAGCTTCAAGGTAGCTTCCGTACGTTAGTAGAACGGAGGCAGATTATTCACAAGTAACCGTTATCGTAATACTGCCGCTTATGCCCGTCGTTTGTAAACGGGATTTATATTGACTTGTCCGCTTAATGTATCACACTATTGATGATGCAAGCGCTGCTGTTCGCATTAGCAGTGTTCCTTGAGCTAACTATCCCCCATGACTTCGATCACCTCTACACACGTGAGTCCCGCCCGTGACGTTTCACTCATATATACAGCTCGTTAGATCCGCAGGAGAACTGCAAAAACAACGGATCCCATTGCACCAATTCATACTCGCCCGTCAGATTCATTCGTCTCTTCACGACAGAGCAACTGGCCTTTCTTCTTCTTTAAAAAGTGTTCGTTTTTATCACTGCGTTTGTGACCGTTTGGGCATTTGATGCCGAGACAAATTAAGAGTAGTAACATAGATTGGACAGGACTCGCGCTCTTACCCAATGGTGACGCTGGAAACATACGCAGGAACATATGCCTATGCACGGCTATATGCACACGCACGTCTAAGCACTACATTTATATAAATACGACATATACAGATATAGATAGAGAAATGGCTGTACGCAGAGCAGCAAATATCCTTGCTGTTGTACCGAGGGGCGTCTTTTGAACGATGGCACACGAGCAGCGTCTTGTTCGGACGTTTGTCTCTGCGAAAACCTGACGGAAGCTCCTCAGCGACGAGAAGACACCGCTCATACCATAAACAGCGTATGTATAATACAGCCAACGATTCTGTTGTGGAGTCCGCTGTGCTCCGTTCCAGTGTTGCCTGTTGTCGTCGTCGTCGTCTAGTTGCCGCCGACGCACTGCCGAAACGCTCACGCCGCCGTCGGCGCTGTCGGTTTGCGTGCTGCATCTGGCTGTCCGATGATGCCGCGTCGGCGGATGTGTGCTGTTGGTGATGTTCGTGTTGATGATAATGACGGTTTAAGGAGTCACAAGGTCACTTTGGCCGTTCTCATTCATTCGCCCGCCGTTCTCCCACCTACTTTTATGGCTGATCAACAAAAACGTAGAAACAGAGGATCTTTACTCGCATGGCGAATACAGGCTGTTTGTTTGCTGTCGCCTCGCGATCCTCAGCTTTTTACGGCTAGGCGAACCAATGCTACATGCAGTTGACGGAACCGGCTGCCGCTCCAATAGCAGCCGCAATATTCGATGTTTTATAGTACAAATCATTTACGAGTACTGTTAGTATTTTATCGTGAATAGTTCAATAGCGATACCTAGTCGTAGTCGTAGTGTGGGCGCAGAATGCACCTCTCTGGACAAGTGGGATGCGTCGTTGCTGACGTCGGCGTGGACGATTACGACTCGCTGCTGGTTACGCTGATGTCGATAAGGGCTAGTCGAATGTGAAGAGATGGAGAGAGAACTCTATCAACAATTCAGCTGCCAGCGCCGTTGGGGAAATGTGGACACATCGCTACTAATCGTTATTTCGCGCGACTGGTCGCCTCGTCACACATCCAGAGTATCTGCACGCATGGTCAGAACAGGCGACAGAGGGAGAGGCGGCAAAGCGGATGCCTAAATAGAACCACAGCGCCAATACTGATAGTAGTGCTAAGGGCCACGCGAGTCGAGTTGGCTGTTTAGCTGGCTAAAAGGTAGCGCGGGAAAATGAATGTCAGCTTGGCTTCTGCCAATGCGGTGCGGTCCGACACGGCACGATTCCTCGATTTACACGGAACGCCAATCTACGAACCTCATTGACAGATTGGACAGAAGACTGCGATGACGGGAACGTGCCGGCTAAATCTAAAGACTTACTGAACACTCTCCCGATCGTGAAGTTTGCTCTCGGGAATTGTCGTAATGCCTGTATGCAGACCTGCATATTGAATCGACTGGCGATCAGCTAGCTACGACATATCCACCACCGTGAGTGGGATTTTCGGCCGGCAAGAGCCTGTTTAGTTAGAGTTGGTTTACTCGATAGTGTATACTATAAGAAGAAAAATTGGTTGGCCAGACAGGTATATCATCTATTCGAACAACTCGTACAATAAGGATTTATTGATATTTTATAGAGATACATGAAAAACACGAGCAGGACCCGCGTGCCAAAAATACCGAAGTATTCACAAGCTCTGAATTCTGTCAGTAACATGCAATTTTAGTGCTTGCGTTGTTCCGCCGTACGGACGTAGTTATCTACTTATTGAACCTGAATAAAAAGCGCTGTATTCAATAAAAAAACGGAGTCATGTTCAGGAGTATTTAAAACATAGTTTACTAAAGTTTTGTATAAGTTGACGCAAAATTTCATCATATTTATGGTAATAAGACTAAGAAGAACTTCAAGTATTCAAAAAGTACAAGAAGGTATTTTACCAGTAATGAAGGACGTTATTTACACGACAACTCTTTACTCCTAAAACAAATCGTGCATTTTTAAATACATGTTTTTGTTTGTAAAGCGTGTGATATTAATTAACAGTATGTCCGGAAAGCCATGTAACGTTACGCTGTACAAGAAAAACGCAGCTAGGAACAGCATGTGAAGTACTCACAAAAAATCGAAGACCTACATGACTGCGTATCATTTGAACCAGTCTGAGCTTGTGACCAGGGCAAAAAACGCAACTTTCTATTAAATTGTCGAATTTTTCAAATATATTACACAAATGTGGTATTTTTTCGCTGCGCCTAACGCAGTTACTCAGTCTTTCTGCATGCTATAGAATTGTACAGTCCCCTAAACACACGACAGAGAAACAAACCGACAAACAAGTTCTAATTAAAAACAACTAACATATATCCAAACGTATATATAAGAACGCATATTTAATATTTATTCCCGTCAACCATAAACATTATCACTTGCATTTATTACATTTTAAAACAATATCTCAGCTATATTAGGTCGTCGAAAAGATTTTTACGCTAAATTGAAGCAAATATGATTTACATTATAAAGAAATAGTAGTAGTAGACTAAATAGGCGCCATTCTGATCGACGATGACCTTCTGCCATTTTTCTGGTAACATCATCACAACAAAAATTTTATGGCTTTTAAATGAACAATTGCGTTAGGTGATTTTCGTCTCCCTTCAGCGAAACTACAACAACGCTATTAGTAGGGTTTTGCGGAGGCCAAAACAGATGATGATAGTCCGATAGTCCAGGCTCCGGGCTACACGGCGGATGAATTGTTTTCCATCCGCGAATTCCTCGTCCAAGTCCTTTAGGTTAATTGAACATGTATATGGTTTGGTGTTGTCATGGTGAACGACGTCGTTTTCTCTGTTAACTTGCCTCCGGTTAACTTTTTCCAATGACTTGTTCTAAGTTTGTTAGTTGTTGGCAGTAAAGGTCCGAATCAATTGTTTTACGAGGCGGTAGCGAGTTATAATGGAGAATTTTTTTCCAATCCCACCAAATACCCTCTCTAGCATCAGTCTGGGTTTTGCCAGAAATTGATTATTATATGTGATCTATTTTTCATCACTCGCGATTAACCGCCTTAAAAATAGCTCGATTTCGCTATCTTTCTGTACAGTTTCGCAGATAGAAGTACGATAGAAGCAACTCATTTTGATCAGTTCGGGCAGTGCCCTGCCAACATTGAGAATTTTAGTAGCCGACTTACCTGACATAAACAAAACCTGTTTGGTAGTGGATATTTAATTCCTTGGCGACGTCGTGGCTACGACTCGACTGTCTCAGTAAAGTTTTACCAACTTTCTTTGTAATCGGTCGATTGCTACGAGGAGCATCTTTCAAATAAAACTCTAAGATGCAACCATCTCTGATTATAATTTAGGGATCAGTTTAAAAAATGAGCTTATATATATATATATATACATATACAGAACAGTACTTGGGGGAAAAAAAAATGGTAACATTCATGTGTATCCGCTCACCGCTAGTTGTATCGCCTAGAAATAATTGACAGTAAACTACTGAAGGCAAGAAAAAGCAATAGTTAAGACTGTGTCTGAACGAATCACCTTTGTGCCAATATTCATTCTAATACTTTATTTGAGACTTCTCGTATGTTACAGAGGCATCTTCGTACTAAATAGAAATACATTAATTAACATAAACAGTGCAAGTAAACAACAGATCAAGCATTCATGAACGGTATATACAGGCCACTTGTTGCAAAACAATCTCTCGGGCCTAGGACCAATTCAAGTCTTTGATTTCCTCTGAATGGATGATATACAGCTCTATGTTGATAAGTAGTGCGATTATACAATGCGTAAAGGATCTAGTTACAATCGTACAAAGTATTTGATTACTTAGAAGTTGTCCGCCTATTTACAACGCCAGGATAGCTAAGTCTGTGACGCTTTGGGGTTTCTTGTCTGTTGGCCCCGCTCTAATTCGATGACGCTGTAAAGAAGGAAGTTCAGTTAACGCTGCATCTGCAGCCACAAGGTTTTAGGGTCGATTCCTAGCCGAACATGCATGATTTAACCTCAAAGAGCTCTGAATGTTACTTCGTTATTTAGGTATGTACAGTATACTGGGGTAGTGAAATCTTTTAACCGAAAATCCACTCTTAATTTATCTATCCGCATAGAAGTCTTCCTATATTTGACAAATCCTCTCATCTATGGCTACCATTATCTTTCATTCCTCATTAGCAATTCCCGTAAAAAAAGCCCATAGGGCAAATCCCAAAAACACAAAGCCGCCAATGTATGTTAATGTTTTTGTCGATACTCTTTTCGCCACAAAGCTACCTGCAACCACAGCTAAGCATGTACACAAGAGATGACCAAAAATGGCTCCCATATTGACCGCCCAAACGTTTTCACGCGCAACTAAAATAATCGTCGCTAGCTGTGAACGGTCGCCCCATTCGGCTACAAACGTCAAAACCAGCGCCTGCCAGAATATCCTTGATAGAATAATATACAAACGAGTCTGCTTACTCGATACTCGCCCGTTCCCCACATTTGCTGAAGTGCCCATCTCTCTCTCATTTAACTCCTGTTGCACTTCTTGAAACCCTTCCTTGACTTCGTTATCCGACATTTGGCATGCCTCATATGTCATTTTGACGCCAAAAAAAATCAACAGTACGATGGACGCATAGTGAGTGTACTCACGAGGAATCAAATGCGTTAGCGAACCCATCATTGCGCTCAGAGCTGTCATGATGAATAATGCAGATATTGCACCTGCAAATACAACTGCCGCTTGGTGGTGCATTGCCATGATAGCGGCAATAAAGAACGTTTTATCTCCGATCTCTGAGACGACGATGACGCTCAATGCTGATATAAAGCCTTGCCAGAAATATGGGTTTTCTTGCAGCTTTATTTTCGAAGCTGTCGTCCCGTTGAACAGTGTATCACTGTGTGCCTTAAGTTCTCCTAAACTGGCGCGTGATGCATGTTTATTGTGTGGCTCTTTGTTAAATGAATCTCCCAGTTTGACTTCTTCAGATGCGCTGAACGACAAAAAGGCGGCAACGGAGAAAATCGCCAAAATGATGAAAACCATTGTCATCAACGAGACCTGAAAACATGTCCAGTAACAACACTACAAGTGTGACAAGCGCAAATATCTTTTCAAAACAACTTATTTTCGTCATACACTCCTAAGCAAATAACAAAGAATGATGGCGTTTTTGTGCCTTTTTTTTTTTTCTAAGAAATGGCGCAGCGGTGAGTTTGGACCATGGTTTTATTGGCCAGTTCGTATTAAGATGATATTTACTGTCGTAGACTTAGATGTCGGTTTTGGCCGAATATTTCTTAGGCCAGAACATCTCCTTTAGGAGGTTATCATCACCGCGGCGATACAGTCATCCAAAAATGTTCGACTACTATAGCTTGTCTTAGACAGACAAAACCTAGCACTATCTAATACCATAAAAGCGGTAATTGGATATACTATTAATACATTGTCCAGTAAATTGTCATATCAATAGTAAAGTCGGATATTTCAACTGATAAAATTCGCCTTTATATTTTTACAGGGTCAATGAAGGTCATAGCTGTAGTTTCGACGTTTCGTAATAATAACTTTACAGATACGTTCGAAGCGTATCTGTAGGGTTAATACTAATATCAATATAATTTGTTTTATTTTTCCTTATGAACTGTTTTTTTCACTGACGCAAATAGACAAACTCATCATTACAATCAAATTATGAAAAATTGTTACCGTTTATTACAATGAGATCAATTACGCGCCAGCCAGCGGAGGCTACATTTCTAATGATTAAAATTGCTTTTGTGAGAAAACCTCTTATTGATCCGAAACAATATTACATTATATAGTAAACTCTGAAGAAGCCTTGTATTTATCCAAAAAGCACAGACCTGCGCGTTGTCCTTCTAAACCAGTCAGATGACAGTTAGCGTGTTCACTTCATTTGCTGTAAGCCGTGTGTTGTACAGGGGTCACATGTGAAAACCAAGGGTATACTTTAACCCTCTAAACATGAAAACATTTGTTGTTCTTTCTAAACCAAACATATATCCTGTTGAGCACACGTTATGTAAATCACACGTTATGCATAGCGAGTCAAAGAAACATCTTCATATTTATCTGTTTGACATGCAAATTTGATGCTGAATTTATGGATAAAAAATAGAAGATTCTGTACTTAGTCTGCCCCTCTCCTGATTTGTCACTTGGGTAAGAGCTGTTAACTCGCTTTCTACCGTTAGCGGTCACTCGTTTGGTTTGTTTCTAAATGGAGACACAGGAAAGGAGACCATGCAAGATATCTGACATCGACCCCGACAATTTTCTGTGCTTCGTGCTGTAGAGGGCTAGCTCAGATTTGACAGACAATTTGTCGCTTGCACCAGCAGTGCAGCTGCTCTTCCTGTGCACGATGGCGATCTAGGGAAATGAGGTACGGTAGTCGTATAATGCTAAAGCCTAAAAGTTGAGGTCGCTAAAGGCTTTCATCACCGATTTCGTCAGCCAAGTAAAGTAGGCAAATCCGTAAATGCACAAAGGATTCTGCACTTGCCAAGCTTAACGTCAACCATTTGAGAGCGTACGACAGCACTTCTTATTTATATTAACGTGATATGAGCGGGAGTGCTGCTGCTGCTGCTGCTACGAACGAGGATCTAGAGACACACAGAAGTTGGAGACAGCCCCGTATGATGTCCGTGTGTAAAGATAAAGGTTGACTGCCGAGACTACCATTGGCCTATCCACAACTCGGCTATATATTTATGTTCCCTAAGGCGCCAGACGAGTTGTAACAGGACTCTTATGTAAAATGTACATAGGAAAGAAGCCCTCCTCTCATTTAAAGCTGACAGGTGGTATAATCGCCGCGGTAAAAGTCGCCACATAAACACAGGTACTTCCTTAAATGATAGATTTTAGATCTCGCCTGTACGTTGGCTAGATCGTTTCACTTGAGCCATTTACTAGCCTTTTTCTTCACTATTAATGCACAATTCAAATAAGTAAAATCGTAGCAATATGCTTATTATGGATAACTACCGTTGAGGGATATCATCGTTGAGCTGTTACCTAAAGTCTCGTGAAGTGCACATAAATACTATTAGGAAAGAAATCTAATAAAAACGCTTTTCAGAGACGCATGTTGTTAAACCTTTATAAATCCCAGATTATATGTCAATAGAGTTTCATTGAATTTGCTACCAATATTTTTCTAGCTAATCAAACGAAAAATTATATCATACAAAAAATGCATCAATTGAAGCCATTTAGCTTCCATTGATGCATTTTTATTATAACGGCTCCAGAAAGTCGCCACTTGTGGACAGTACTCGTGCAACAAAGAGCCGGATAAAACTTGCAAACGTTTCGTATTTTGTGGATATTTGTTATAACAGTAAAGTAAAAAAGAACGTCTCGTGTTATTGTTGTACTCACTGGTTGTAGACAATTTTAATTCCACTGCTCTTAATGTCAGAAATTTCGACCCGTTTTTTGTTTAGCCTAGGCTTTCTTTACATTGGGTTATTTCTGAAAGGCTAAAACCTTTCAGCGCTAATGTCTCCGCAGAAGGCGATATTGCCAGTGGCACAGAAGGAGCTAGTACAAACCAGTTTCTCAAGGCTGTACCGGCACCCAAATAGATCGCTGGTGTATACATAGACATGCCAAATAATTGCACACATGGATATACGACTTTTTTTCTTTATGAAGACGACCTACCTGTTTTCTTATGTGCTGTTGTTCAATAAGTATCTTAGAACTTCATAGGTAAACGACTTAAGAAAAAAAATTCAATTTTTAGCGGTAATCTTTTTTAATTTCTCAAAAACTGTTCAAAAGTCAAACAAAAATGTAGATTTCTTCGACACTATACTGGTGACAGCATATTGTATTGCCACATCAATTATACAGATGTGCATTTCAATTTTAAAACAAATATTTAATGGCTCTTTTTCAGTCGTCACTTTCATCATCAAAAGTAGAAGAAGGAATTGGTTTGTTGAGCCAAAAACATGCGAACTTACCATTTACTACCATAACTGAATACACGTATGAACTTTTTTCTCTGTTTGAAAACGTTTTATAATATATATTACAAAACGTTTTTGTACTTTATTCTATAAATTTTAATATACGGCAATGTCATGTTTACTGAGTCATCATTGGGTTACATCAACCAGTATATCATAACATCTGCTTTACAACTTTATACACAATGGAGCACCATCAATTCCAAGCGATAATAAGCAGAGGCGGATTGTAAGCCTTTGCGCAGTTTTCCTGTCATTTTTTTGCTTATTCATCTTTTTCCTTATTTCCTATATTTTTTTTGGAATTAGTTTACTATACTGCCCTTTCCCTATGAGTTACACACTGTTGCTTATTGCTAATGGAAACATACACGCCGCGGTGCGGTTATGCATTGTTTAATGCCGCCAACTTGCCACCTTTTATTATGCACAGAAATGGAAAGCAAAGTAGACAAGTTGGTGCTCTCAAAGTTCGTAGAGTGCTAAAATTCTAAACTCATATCATAATAATAAAAACAATAATAGTAATAACTGATGGAGATATGCCTAATCTGATTCTGTCACGACTGACAGGGTCGGATCATGCATATCAAAATGCCACTGAACGGAGTGATCAATGTGTCAACCGACATTTCTTTACAAACTTAATCGGAAAAGATCAAAGAAGACGGTAAAATTATGTTCCACTCCAACCTTATTTCAATTCGCTCAGTTCAATGCACACACCCTTCCTGCTGTGAATATCGTTACCGCTTACGGAACTATCATGATTTGGTGCTCCCGCCTTGTTTATTTATAAATACAGTATAACATAAGAGGACAATCCAGTTCGCCCCGTGGCCCTATCTTCCATTAGATTTCCCCCTTCCTCTTTCGGTGGTTGTGAAAATTAAAAATATTTGTTCAAAACTAAGTTTTAAACCTATCTGGTCCAAATGTTATAGACGATCATGAAAAAATTTGCTCACACCTAATTGATACAGGTTTAACTACCCGCCCGTAAAAGAAAAGCTTACGTAATTAGTTTGCCTTTTACAGCCGTTAGCGTAGATGATGCTTATAGTGTCACCTCTTTGCTATCAAGCCCGATCAGATAGGCCGAAGCGGCAAACAGCAGGAACACTACACCTCCAACAAATGCTACAGTTTTCACCGACACCCTCTTTGCGACAGCGCTGCCGGCGAGTACGGCAAGACACGTGCAAAACGAGTGACCTAAAATTGCACCGATGTTAACCGCCCATACATTTTCACGGGCTGCCAGAATGATGGTTGCCAACTGTGAGCGGTCACCCCATTCGGCGACGAACGTGAGCGTGAGCGCCTGCCAGAACACTCGTGATAGGACCGCATAAAGACGATCCTGCATCGTCGAGGCTACACCGCTTTCCACGTCAGCTGAGGTTTCCATTTCTTTTTGATTTAGCGTCTTTTCGACTTCTTCGAACTCTTCCTTGCCTTCGTCATCCGACATCCGTGATGCTTCATACAACATTTTTACGCCGAAGAAGATGAACAGTACGATCGAGCAGTAGTGTGTGTACTCTCGTGGAATCACCTGGGTAAGTGAGCCCATCAATGCGCTCAGAACCGTCATAATAATGAGGGCTGATATAGCGCCGGCAAATACAATGACGCGTCGATGACGCATCGACATGATTGCCGCAATAAAAAAAGTCTTGTCACCAATTTCCGAGACGACGATTACACTCAAGGATGACACAAAGCCGTGCCAAAAGTTTGGAACACCAGGGTATTCAGCCGCCACAGCGGTTTCACCACCTAACGACAGAAATGGTGCGGGTGCAACGTCGTGAGTTTCGACAGCCGATACAACCTTGTCCTGTTGCATCTTCTTCTCAAACTCCTGTATCGACTTGGGCAGTTGTTCGGCCGTGGTCGGCGCTAAGAACGCGGCGACAACTGTGAGTGTGGCCACAATGATCCAGGCCATTTTCGAAAAGGCCTGAAATACGACACAAGACAACAATGATACTGAAATCTGATTGTGTAAAAATCAATAGAAATGATCGATACAGTAGCAATATTACGGCAGTGAGACTTTCAATGTTTATCGAAATTCTCACTACTGTATACATAGATATACACCACCATATTTAGATATAACATGCAAGAAAGAATGGTTTGTTTATCGTCTTCTTAATATAATCAGAGGTGGAAAAATTTTCTCTGAACTTGACAAAATTTTTCTACTTCTGAGGGAGAATCAACTCGTGAAATTGAAGTAATGGGATGAATATTTTCTCCAAGAAGGATTTGTTTTTCACCCTATAGTGTGTAATATTAATGTGAGTTTATTTATTGTTTCGAACCACGAATGGGTGTAGAATTAAATTCAAGGAAAACTTACTTCTTGCAGTCTAATTATTAATTGAAGATCAATGAGCTATAAACCATCTCACTTCATTCTTTTAAGTGCGCAAATATTTTTTTTTCGAAGGGCTAGTTTCCTTCTCTCATAACAAGTATAATTCCAACTTAGTTATATTACGATATTGTTGCTGGAATTCCTTATGGGAAAGTCATATGGGCTGCGGTAAGCTATAATTTCGTTGCATCCTAATTCTTTTTTTTTTAGTTAACAAAATAACAGCGAAATGGTAACATGGGAGTCTATGAAAGGGGCGGGGAGGGTTGTTTTTGGTCCAATATATGTTCATATACTTAAGTTTTAGCTTTTGAGTCGAAAATACAGTCTGAAGGATAAAAACAAAAAAAAAATAGGAAAAGCGCTCCATCCTGGATGAAGAACCGAGTCAGTGCATCAACTGAAACAATAACACCGATCCTGAAACGGGCTGGTAAAATAACAACAGAAGGGTACCACGCGTTAGGTGGAGCAAAGCGATTCCAACGAGATAGCCCTTAATGTGTACGCGACTTAGTTCTCGTTAGCTTAGGTGAATGAATCACATTATATGAGCTGATTAACGCCAAAACGGGCACGAAGCAGTACTCATATATGTATGTTATAATATATATTACACTATCCCTTTGCATGAAACTTGCTTTAGGTAACTGCTTGATCTAAAAAATAAAAATGATAATATACGATGGACTCAAAATAAAAAGCGCATGTTTCAGCCCAATGAAAACAATTGTAAGTATTATCTTTTTTATATGCTCCATGAATAATAAATGCGTCTTCCTATATGTTTTTCTAGGGCAACTGAGTGGCACAAATGTACAGCGAGTACTGAGGTACAATTTATAGGATTTAAAAAAGATTTTTGCGAGAGTTCTTAGAAACAATTAAGGATAAGGAACTACATTGGTTCATAGATAAGTAAATTTACTTATTTATGAAAAAATGCTTAACTTTACTCTCAAAAAAATCATGAGACCTCACTAATTATCCGAATAATCCAGTACCAGTCAAGTCAGTCAGTTAGTCTGTCTAAATATTTTATATATATATATATATATATATATATATATATATATATATATATCAATTTGGTATGCATTTGCTGCGGCTAAGACTAAGAATAAATCTAACTTATCTAGCGAAAAACCACCATATGGCACAGTGGCTTACGGTGACCAGTTTCATATAGCTGTGACGTTATGACAAGCACCTATTGAACATGTGGACGTCAGCAATTGATCTGAACCTTGTCTGTCCGGTTGCATCAATGAAGCGAGGCTTTCGAACAATGTGGAAACGGATCTTGCGAATCGAACAACAGTGTCTCAAAGATCAATTGTAGCGGAAATAAAAGTCGGAATAAATTGACAAAAGTTTTGAGTTGTGTGATAATGAAAAGTTTCCATAATGACTCCATCAAATGCGAAATGTCAAGCGACACTTTTACGGGACCTTTACTGAGCTTCTGCTGTTAAGACTGTCGTTCTTATATGATCAATGATATAAACGTGCGAACAATAAATCCTCGAAAAGATGTCAGCATTTGTTAGCTAAGATAAAAGATACGTAACGAATATGTAAATATAATTCCTGGTAAAGTGATTATATAAAACATCAGCATGAATTGCATGTTATATTTTTTGAAAATACATGGTTCAAATACGTGTAAGGAAAAAGTTTAAAAGTACATCTCGGCTTGCTCTTACTTTCCCAAGCTGAAATGTTATTAGCGATTCGATAATAAAAAAAGCTGAGACAAACAAGTTCTGAGCTATTTAGTGCATGAATTCATTCATTGCTAGTCCCGCATTAAATTGGATTTTTTTGTCACTTTCAACTTATTAGATCACAACAAATAACAATTGAATCACGAAAAAATCCACTATGCGCGTTTGATGGCGGAGAAGTTTGCCGTACTCACTGTTTGGTAGTGTTATTATTTAAGTTTCACATTTTAAAATATATTAAGTCTTACTTTTATTATCCGAGTTAATAACATCGTCGCTGTTTATCAAATATTAGCAGTATGTACAGCGCAAATACTATTACACTTTATTTTGACCTTCATACACCTCACAGTTTTTCGGTAATTGTCTCCGGTACCTTCATGCTTATAACCGTTATCACGAAGTTAGAATGGTCTCACTTGATCTATTCATACTATCTAACAGATTGATATGTTTTGTACGGTTGTTGATACTTCTTGTATGTGCCACTTTGGCCGGAGAATCGTTCCGTTTTCATTCAAGAGCTACTGCTGTTGAGATCATTTGCTCGATAACCATAATCTCCGCACGGGGTGAGCAAAATGGCGAGGGGATGAAGTATAGCATCTAGAATCTATAATCATACTACGACATAGAAAGATACAGCAGTAACAGCAAAGTGCATGTGACGAAAACCCGGACGTGAATAACCCCTGACCACTGCGCGAAACGTTCCGGTTAAATGGTCTAAGTACTATGACAATTATTTCTGATTTGAATGATCTTATAGAAAGTTTCAGCAATTCGAAATTATGCAAATACAGTCAATGAAATATTATTAGAGAATTAGCAAAAACTTGATGCTTAAGACCTGCAAGCTGTTCGACGTGCAGGCGACTGAGAGGTGGCTACAGGCTTTCGGAGTAACTAAAAAATACTATTGTAAGCCTGGAGGATTAAAAAAATAGGCTTTTCGTGAAACAAAACATGTGACTGGTTAAGGCTTTCTGAATTACTGCATAATACTACAATACTCATGGACATTATACATCCAACTTGTTGATTTACATCGAAATAACTGTACATAGCGCTATTAGGTTTACTGATGTAAGTAGCATAAGCGTAGTGTAATGACGTATAGGTTCACCATGAGAAAGCCCTTGATCAAAAACCGTAGCCTACACAACGGCCCGACATAGTAAAGTGTACCTACTGCAGAAGGACAAAGATCGAAATTCTCGGCTTTTTCGTTTCAGGAAATTTGTACGAAGTTGTATCGATGCTGAAATTAAAATGTATTAGCTCTAGTTAGTTACTAGTATTAGAATCAACTTACAAGTCATCTTATAGTATATCTTATAGTATTTCAGCCGTGTTTCAGCAGATGAGCAGCAGTTCGTCATACAGATAAATAGCTTAAAGCCTACTAAGACGCAACGAGTACAGCAGATATCCGAATACCAAAAATTGCATATGATAAATCTTGATAATCTAGTTCATTGTGCCCGAATAGAAAGCACACAAAAGTGTTCCGATTAGACAAGGTCAGGAGCTCAAAAGCGCACATGAGGCTTCCACAGTTGTCCGTACGGTGACTGTTTATAGATGTATTTTAAGTGGAGCTAACTTTTATCTCGAACAATTAACATGTTCATTGTAACATCTTCGTTTTCGATTACCTCAGTTGTTGAGCGAAGCATATACTAATAAACCTCATTATATATATATATATATATATAGGTGTTAATATATCATGTATGTATATATATGAGTACACTTTCATAAAGTGTACTCCTATTGAAGTGCACACTAGAGTTTGCCGTTTTTCGTACACACTACTACATACGAAGACGATTCATTAACTGAGCTTACATAACAGGCAGATGAACATCTTGCGTGACAGAAAATAGCAAGTTGCCCTAACATGTCAAGGTTATTTGAAAGTTGGAGAACGGCACAAAGTGCAGTTCGATCAAATAATTTAAGCGGAAAATGCCCGCTATTTTTAAAAGTTTCGTTGCTAAACTAATGTTACAATATATGTAGACAAGGTCAGATTAGTAGCTGGCAGGCAAAACAGATTTGAAGAATGATGTTTTTTGTTGGCTTAGCGAAGAGTTTGAATTTTGCGACAAATTGTAGTTTGTAGTGTCTACGGAGCTTCACCGAAACTGTAGTGGTTACAGACAACAGACCTACTTTCGTTGCTGTGTGCAAACATTTTATTATGCAGAGGTTTCACTCAATAATTGCAATTTCGTTATCTCTAAATCATTTCATTTTTTACTAACTGTAAGTTATTTTCTTATTGAATTGTCTTCCATAAAATAATGTAGAATCATCTATTCAAAACTGTATTCTGAGCTCACCGCATTACATAATGACTCTAGGAGGTATGTCAAAGGATTGAAAAAAGAATAATTTCCCTAAATTACGGTTTTCATCTTCAGTTACATTCAGTTCAGTTATCTGGTTCACCATTGCACGTTGGTTCGAACCTTTAATAAACAGAGGTATCTATTAGATACCAGCTCTTTCTTTCCACCCAACTCCTCCCCAATTGCACACACACATCCAATTTAAGAATGAGTTTGGTAGTACTATATAACTCTTTCGAGTAGTAAGATCGACAAAGCCTTCCTTTAGATTGCAATTATTGTCATGCTCACACTAACGCATTAAAGATAAACTCTTCTACACAGAAAACGAAGCTCTAGAAGAACAAGGAGGACGACTGAAACAAAGTTCTATTATTAGTTGAGCATATATCGTTTTCGTTGTTAATCGCGTAGAGGTTCCTCATTTACGCTAAATTATTAACTCTTAATGGGAACACAGAATTGAAAAACGTTAGAACTTTTGCTAAAAAGCATGCTCTATATCTAATGATCAGTTTTCGATCATTGATTTTAATTCTGGAATCAAGCCAAACATAATATATATATTCGCCTAAAAAGTGTACTTTCTTTTGTTTGGGGGTGAGTATGAAACTTTATATTTTACTCAAGCCTATAACGTGGTTGAGCGAATCTGTCGTCATTATATCCTATAAATAGGATAAATCTTACGTTCAACAATCATTAACAATTTATAATAACATGACTTTCTACTATCTCCATATACTCTTCTTCCAGAGCTCTTCCAATACCGCTATAATAGAGCCATTGAAAGCTGTATCCTGAGCTTATTTTTATAATGCCGATGTACAAGATGAGTAAGGTGTCCTTCTGGCAGATGCTATAGGTAACATTTCGTTTTCCTTGGTCTAGGTAATAACTATTACCGCTAATCGCTTAGAGCATTATAAACCTGTCCATTTGCATCTGATCTTGTTATTCTATCGCATCGCGGAGCAACGGACATTAAAGGACAACGCCAACTTCACCTGCTTCGTTTATATTTCTGATATTTTCCCGGAATAAAATATACCGATAATACAATAATTATTAGAATGTTATTATTACATTGAGCTTAAATGAATGTCGGGATAGCGAATATGACAGATCCTGAACTAGTTATGATAGCTTAAGCGGATTAGTCTTAATACTTGAAATACCGAAGATGACTGGACTTCAGTTCTATAGTACATTATCTATTTATCGCAACAAACACCCAGTTTCTCTCCTAAATTACTTTGTGTTCACACTATCAAGAAGCAGACCGTAACTTGATTGCGTCCAGTGCCGTTTGCCCGGTATTAACAACAAAAACGACAACACTTCACCATAATAGCAATAGCAACTAAGCACAGTACCTCGCGTATAGTCGAACTTGTTCTCTTACCATTTCATTTGTCCTAGCAAACAGATTAGCCGCGGTCACGGCTTGTCAACAGAGGATCGAATCCTCTTTACCGCCGCACGATTGGCAGTAGTCACCGTTGCATTTGTACTAGCCACCACGTCACAACGAACTGCCGCGTTTCCTCTATGCACTGCCAGCTAGCACAAACAGGCTACGATGGTTCTACGATAGAATGGCGACGTACGAAATGTCCAGTTGACGGACACACCGAGTACCCCGACGGCAGAAAGGCACCTACATGTAGAGCTAGTGTCAGTGCAGCTGCAGCTGCTGCGGCCAATAGCAACAATTATAGTCGCACTGTTTGCGTACAGCACCGGTACTTTGACGTCTGGGTTGACATGGCACGCTACACAATAGTAGTGGCACACGCCGTAGAGGCTCTTGTAAAGAATCACTATTGCCGGGGCATAAACAGCGGACTCGTTGCCTCTACTTCCATTGAATCGGTTCCCATCCGCTGAGAGATGCCGACGATGTTGACCACAGCAGCAACGACAACAACAACAGAAATGATGATGATGATTGTGTGGAGGAACAAGGATTTGCCGTATGCACACAGAACATTTTTGGTTGGCGGAGTCAATTCGGTATGCCTTTTGTAGTGACACTTGTAGTAACAACTTATGGAGCAGACGACAGCACCAGTGCGCGCACCCGGTTATACAATTGGACCACGCTCTGGTTTGCAACACGGATAAAATAAATCATGCATGTATTTATGCTAAGCGAAATTACGCTGCTCATTACAGTTTAGAACATGAATAACTAATTTGGTGGAAATATAAAAGGTTGAGGGACTGGATATCATTCACGCCTATCAAAATAAGCTAAAACAAATATATTGTGAAGAGCCGATTGAGCTTTTTAAATAAATAAAGCCCGCAATATACATGTAGTAATAAAAAAAAAAGGTTTGTTTAGTTGCACCTTAGCCCAATCTATTTTTTAATTCAACCTATTTTTGCCTATCTATTTATTTGCTATCTATTTAATATTCATTCCCTTTCCCTTCAGTCAAAACTCAGTAACATATCTAAACAAGTGGTGAGAGTCAACGTATCACAAAGAGTGCCACAGACCATGCCACATGTTTTGAAGAAGCAAAGGCCTGCAAGACCCGTCCGTAGTGGATGAGTGTTTTGTATTGCATTGCTTAGTGCGGCGCTACTTGGCCCATCTGTGTAAAGAAGCGAACGAGTAAGAGTCGTCAAACGACGCCCTTGTTTGATGGTTTTTTTTTTTAGTATTTCTATCGTTTTTACATTCATACTTCAGAGGTCTTTAGTTATTACATCAGCCTGTAAGTGCAAAGCGATCTTTATCTAATCACCATTAACCCCGGTGTTGGAACGTCTAAGTGGATAACAACTGAGACGAGCCTGAGAATTTAATCCTTTTTGAAGTGTTGTGGTCAGATAGCGTCTAATCGAAATTGGCAGCCGGTGGATAGAAATTGGGTTCTGTGAAGAAGTGTATGCTCGATGTTACTCTAGTGCTATTAATGTGATCTAAAGGGAGTTTGCTGTCTTCGACTCCGAGGAGAGACTGTAGATTGTGCCGCAGCGCACACACTATAGGTGAATGTCGTAATGAATTTCTCTCCCCCCCCCCCCCGTAACGTATGGAGGTTTGACTGATTGCGAAACGCAGAGACAACAGTTCTTCCCTACCTAACGCAAAAACGTAAAATACGATCTTTGTGAAATGTTCCTGTCAAATTTATGCTAGCACATATCTGCGTTTATATAGTATTCCTATTTGATTATGTAATACTATTTATTTTCTTTGATGGCTTTAATCGTCATTTGACAAGGCATTCGGCAAAGATTATTTACTATTATAATTGTCAGCGTTTTTTTTGCTAAGTAATCGATCGCTAGACCGACTTTTAGGAGCACAATTTGTACAGCTGATCCATCTCTGCAATGGAGTTATGTGTTATTCTGTCAAGATGTTTATCCGCTCTCAGCTGTTCAGTCGCATTCCAGTAATTCCACACCTGCAGCATAGTTGTCTGCTTCTATGACATAGACCTGGTTTTCGTTTTATTTTATTCTAATTTTTTAATTCGTTTCATCCTCTTTATAATAAAAATGATCAATGATTCTTTCTATATGGGTCGAATGTATCGTTGAACCGGAATGTATGAATTGGAAGAATTGTTTAAACTTTTGCGTAGACGACTAATGAATTGATTGTGCTTTGGTGTTTTTCTGAATAAGACTAATAATACAAGGAAGTGCTCACAAAAATAATGAACACTGGGCCCGTGACAATTCCGGACCGGTTAATTGCATCACGAACTTTTTGTTCCTTTTAAAGCGACTGTATACGAGCTCTTGGGAAGTAGCATGCATTTTCGGTTAAATGTTTTCGTTTCTCCACTTCGTTTTCAACTTGTTCGTCCCTTTTAATTTTGTTCTACCCTTAAAATAAATGGCATACTGTAGATATATAGAGACAAATATTTTTTGCATTTTCTGTAAAATCTAAAACGAGTTAAGTCTTTATGTATCATACAGTAACAATGTTACGTGGAGGATGCATAGAGTAATGGAATTGGTGGAAGTCCTGCCAGAGTGTTGCTTTGCTCTATATATATACATATATATATATATTATCTAAAATGTTTTAGACAAAATTCCTGTATCTTCTAAATCAGTGTATTGCCGATGAAGTATATGAGAGTATGCGTACTTTTGTTCATATTGTTGTTCATGACAGGCGCAAAAACCGTGATGACCATGCCTGGTAAGAGGTGAAGGATAATGATGCGCCGATAAGGCGATGAACGAAGATTTTTCCGAAGTAAAGCCTTGGCTTCAGCCCAGATCGAAGGGTTCTGATATAAACTCTAGGGCTTTCTACAGGTTCGTGAATTGCACGGGATTTGAAGTCGAGCTCTTTTGGTTAGATTTCGACGGAAATCGGGTACGTCAACAAATTTCCTTCTGGGCAACCAAACATTATCATATTTCAGAATTGCATTGTACTGCATTGCAAGCTGAGAAGTTTATATATTGTAGAATAGAGTTGTTGGCCCTTTGATATGATTTATAAATATGTGCTGTGTCCTTTATGCTATTTATGTATGACTAGCCTAACACGTTAATATTCTATATGCATTTCTTAAAGTGCGATCCATTTCGAGATTACTTTTTCCTAGTAATTATTTCTGTCATTTGTTTCGTATTCACAAAGTGTAACGGGAACGTTTCGTTATTTGCTCTTGTGCTTCTGATACAGGTTAGTTACGGTATATTAAAGTCCGTCGGGCATGATACAGCCCTTAACATTGATACCTTCGAAAGCCATCCGTGGCAAGCTGTACCATATACGCCAAGGCCAAGAGAACATAACGCAGCCGAAGCCGTCGCAGAGACCTATCAGACAGCGTTACCTCTGAACGGAAAATTTTTGCTGTACCCTAGTGGCGCTAATCGTCGCGTAAGAAGAGTTGTCTTAATAACTCGGTTCGGTAGGTTCAATATTAAATTCTGTGATAATGCCTCGACTAGCATGAATACACAGGATTTGCAACCAATGTGCATAACTTCGCTTAACATAGATAAAGCAAGAACTGTGGCGACTGCAGTAATTAAACCACTTCTTTTTATATTAAAACCAACGTTAAACCCAACATAGTAGACATACTGTAGATGTTAACATAATACGGTTTAACGAACACGCTGTATGTATGCCATATTTGCCTTTACAGTTAGCTCCCTGAAGTCACTCTGCCTGCAAACTATTTTGCGGGCGTGTCCGGAAGACCCCGCTCGTCTACGTGAGCTCGAATTGCCATTAAGCGTCCTACGAGATTTACGCACATTTGCCGTATACGGCTTCTGTCCCTAACACGAGGCAGGTCGAATATACTTGTTTATAAGGTGAACATAAATTAGTACTGGGCCATCACGGAGGCCGACACCAATCCCCTGATGGCCGAAACGGTGGTCGTGCGAGCAGCGCGCCCACGTAAACCGCACGACGCGAAGCAAGGGGGGCAGGATTTGAACACTACAGGAACCGAATCACTTGAAGTTGGCTTTGTTCAGAATGGCCGCCACAGTTGGACCCATGAGGTACCATCCGACAATGGTCTTCGAGGAGGTGCTTCTGGCGACGGCGGTAGTGGATTAGCGAATCCGTTAGAGGAGGAGGAGCTGAAGTACGGTGCCAAGCATGTAATCAAGCTCATTATACCTGTATCATTATGCATGCTTGTCGTGGTGACGTCCATCAATACGGTTACATCGTTAGCCGAGAGCAATGGACAGTATCTACTCTATACGCCATTTCATGATCAAAATGTTGACACCACCACAAAAGTCTGGCAGAGCTTTGCCAACGCCTTCGTCTTGATGAGTGTCATCGTCATCATGACGGTTCTACTCATCGTCCTATATAAGTCCCGCTGCTACAAGGTCATCCACGGTTGGTTGATCATGTCCAGCCTTCTGTTGCTGTTCCTCTTCGCTTACCTGTATGCCTACGAAGTACTGACCAACTATAACATCGCTGTCGACTATATAACAGTGGCCCTATGTGTGTGGAACTTTGGCATGGTAGGCATGATTTGCATCCACTGGAAAGGCCCGCTACTTTTGCAGCAATTATATCTCATCATTATCTCGTCCCTCATGGCAATGGTATTCATCAAATACATGCCGGCATTCACCGTATGGGCAGTTCTAGCAGTTATTTCGATCTGGGATCTAGTGGCGGTTCTATCTCCGAAAGGTCCTTTGCGAATCCTTGTTGAAACGGCGCAGCAACGTGACGAGCCTATATTCCCTGCACTCATCTATTCATCGGCGATGGTCTGGATTGTGGGTATAGCTGACAATGACGGCCAGTGCCAGGTCGAGGCTAGTCGAGGCGAAGGTGTCTCTGAAACTCATCAAAGTTGGCTATGCCAAGACAGCAATGGGTCAACAACTGTAGTCAATGACTCACAAGCGACAGGTACAAGCACTTCAAGGGGTGGAAGTCATGAAAGAGGCGGTGAGTTTCTAGACACTGATGACGGATCTCAACGTCTATATCACCGACAACAACAGATACAGCAAGGTGAGGAAGAAGAACGGAGCGTAAAGCTTGGCCTAGGCGACTTCATTTTCTACTCGGTGCTCGTCGGTAAAGCATCCTGGTATGGCGACTGGAATACGACACTCGCCTGCTTCGTCGCGATCTTGATCGGACTCTGTCTGACGCTGCTGCTGCTGGCAATTTTTCGCAAGGCATTACCCGCTCTACCTATTTCTATCGCATTTGGTCTCGTTTTTTATTTTGCAACATCCACACTCGTACAGCCATTCACCGAGGTTCTTGCTGTGCAACAGGCGTACATATGAGATGGCAGCCAATGTATTACGTCCTGAAATGAAAACGGTGAGAAAGAATAAGTGACCTTTTTTTTTGACTCCATCACTGTTCGCAGATCAGACAAACGGCGACGACAGTATATATTGTTCGACAGAACTTTCGAGTACTAATTGACAGACGTATTATTATTATAGTTAATATTGTATGAGCTCGTGAGTCTATCAAAGTGGTTGGTGAAGTATGCGGATGTAACTTGCATTTGCTCGCTAATATATTAGCTCAAATATTAAGCCAAACACAGTGGAGAATGTAACAGAAACACAGGGAAAGCTGCTTGATTATTTGATTCTTTCGAAGTAATACAAAAAAAGATTGAACATCGCTGAAATGTCATTATAGTATATTCATGCGGTATACTCCATATGTACTGGAAACATCTACCGACCCAACATTTGACGAAACGTTTTTAGGCCGCATATGTTTTCAGTGTTGCATGATAAGCAAAAACTTAGGTGAATACCGTATTCAGCCAAAGGTTCATCTAAGAAATCAATTTATATGGCACTTTTATGCATAGACACCGGCAAATGTTCGAGCAGTAATCCGTAAAAGACCTTTACGCTTCTGTGAAGCAAGGAGGGTATTTTCCTCAACACAAATTATGCCTAGGGGCGGACTTACACGCTTGGAATGCATCAGTTATCTCCGTTTAATAAACGGTTGTACGAGCCTGATTGACGCGTGTGTACAGAAAACGCTGTTAAGAAAAATGTCTGTAAATGAATAATGTACTAAGCTTTACGCCCAATGAGAGCAGAAAAATTAAATAGATATCTAGGTGATTTTTTAGATTTGGGTAAGATTGATATTTTTCTTCATAAAGAAAGACTGACATGGTTTATTTGGTTTATTGTTCAGGAAAGAGCACACATTGCATATTCAGGACGAATATGAATACTAGTAAAACAACTTATCTTTTGTCTTTTTCCCTTATATTTTCCATACAATTACTTAGGAATACTTAGGAATCTTATTGATGTTTAAGCGAAAATAAAATATGAACTATACAGTGAAGAAAGATGTAGTTCTATTTTCTGGACGAATTACATGATGACCACTATGATAGCACGGCCTTTTTATTAAATTTCAGTCAGTCAAATAAATAGGTTGTAACAAAAAAATGAAAAACAGAAGCGGTAGTTACTTCTTTTATAAATTTAACAATAAAATAAGTATTTAGAGCTATTCGTAGTATAACATGCAATAACATTTAGGTATCGTTGTTTAGAGCTCTTATTGCCTAGTGCAATTAGATCTAACCTTCATAGCAAAATCTAAATAGATTTGTTGTGAGAACTGGAGCCATAGGCTTTTAGATTTACGTGCGTTTTTAAGATATTTGTCACATGTTAAGTTATAATTCATTATCGTTCAGTCGGCAACTGAACGATAATCGAGGGCTACGTAAATTTCATGAACCGTTAAACTGCAACATTAGAAAAATCGGTAGGAGATTGGAGATCGTCTCTCATCCTACAACATACGTGTGTGAGAGCAACCTCTGTAAAAAAAAGACTGGTAGTTATAGGGATGTAAGGATGGGCAAGTTGAACGAAAACTATATGGAAATGCTAACTGAAAATTCTTTGTCTATGTAAGAGTCTCATAGTTTAAATAGCACTGAGCCTCAATGTGGGCAAATCAAAATAAACGATTGATTTAGCTGCTGACGAGAAGATTTCATGTGGTGCATCAAGCAATAATGCAAACGATAACAACTGGGGATGCAAATGAGATGCAGTAAAAAAAAAGGATAGTGTCTACATGGGTAGACCTGTTAACGTCGTTACAAATGGAAACGGGCCGCAGCGATTTGCCTACTGCTGAATTAATGCCGCAGCATATTTTTAATTAGTAATGTCTTCTATAGTAAAGGAAACATTTTTTTATACGGATGATGCTGATGAAGTAGATATTCGTGTTTATTCGACAGCTGCACTATATATAGTTTTATACACATAGCATGTGTCAATAAATTACCATTTATAACTCATTACTCATTCAGATTTTGTTTTTAGTATTTTACAGAATTCGTGTAGAAAGGAATAATTACTGATCAATAGCTTCGCTCAAAATGTTTAATAAGTGCCGAGAGCCTTTCTTGATCTGTCAGATAAACTGAAGGATGCGTAACCGGTTTATGGTTATCCATTGAAACAATGAGCCCAGTTAACCTATGCGAACTGGTTTAGTTTACAGGTTAGCTCGAATAGGTTAGTAATATATTGGTCTAAATTTTTCTCCTGAACGCTTTCATGCAAGACGCGGTGTCGTGGAAAACGTTTTTTACTGCTTCAGCACCCACGGTTAGCAACAGAGCATACAAGAATACAATGATTGCTTAAACTCACATCTTCCATTGGTATTCATTAACATGCGAATCGGACGCCTCTCTTGTTCTGAACAATTTGACTTACCCAGTTTAGAAAATTGACTTTTTATATGTAAATAGCATTAAAATCGCTGTTTCTTAATATAACTACAGATATTTTGCTGTAGGAACCTGTATCCGATTAATCGTATTTCAGATTTGAATCATCTGACGAAGACACCTTTACCCTGTTAAAGGTGTCTGTCGCCAACAAGGTACTCTGCGATGCTTTAGACGAATGCCCTTGTAATTTTTTACCACTTCCCCCATTCTGTTAGTTCCCTTTCCTTCGAAGTTCAAAGCTTCACCCACAAGGTCCTCTCCCCTGCTACAGCCTCCGGGTTATCAAAATGCGAGCTAGAAATCTTTCGTTGTGTCTGATCTCCTTCCTCAGCCATCTGCGCACGCGCCGAAGACCTCTCGAGCGCACCATCCCGTCGAAGGCTAGGAATTGCCAAACACCCCCTGAAGCTCAACTATGAATAGCGAACTGTCAATAGAGCGTTACAAGGAAAGCAAGTATTGCATTGGTCAAAATAGCGAAGTGAGATAACTCCGCGCTGAAATATTCGCTTCGTGTCATATACGTATGGAATCAAACCTGCGGCCTATTTCGCTAAGGAGATGGATCGCTATGAAAGAATACCCGCGACAAAAGGCTTGACAGCTGTGTGCGCTGAACAAGATTATCACTGGAAACAACAAGATATCTGCTTCGCACCGACAAGCTGGCCCCTGATTTGAAATTTGCTGACAATGGACCTATCGGATGGTACGTAATTGATGATATAAGTTGTTCCCGGTCTTTTATTGACTATTGGCTCTTTGTAGTGGAATACGACCATTTACATTTGAAGTGAAGAGAGTGATTCAAGTATGTGACGGTCTTCATAGCAAATAAACTTCTAATGGAACGCCTCTCATCTATACTACTAGATGGTAGGAACGCCATCTATATATTTTATATTATTGGATTAGTATTATGCGTATGCCAATCGGTGGATGCCTCGAGTGCTAAATATCGATAAATTGAAGGGCGTGCCTGCATGATTGGAAGCTGAGTACTGTTTAATGATGATTAAAATTCAACAGAGTAGTGCCCATACTATTTGATATACAGTAACTCAATAAAAAGTAACGAATTTGTCAGGCACATAAAAAATTAAAAAGCCTTTGTAATATTTTTCTTGTCACCCATTAAACTTTTCTCAGAAAAATTTACTAGCATTTGTCAGCTACATTTACTATTGATTTAATTTAAAATTGTCGATGTTTTGAGAATTACCTAAAGTTCAATAACAATAGTATGAGGCGTTCCACTACAATTTTCCACTACAAAATAATGCAAGAGTTTATATAAGCCAAATTTAAGGAGACTGCTAAGAACGGCCACTGCTACTGGAGAAAAATTATTTCAGTTCATTTTACAAACATTGCTTCTATCTTATGATCTGAAAGGGCCCTACCACGATTTATTAGCTTCTGGAAAATTATCTGTTGAAGGCACGTACGTTTTGGGGCGACACAGTCTTATAAGATATGACGATATAAATCAGTTGTGGAGCTATATGGACCGTAAATGATTTTATGCGAAGATGTCAATCTCTCAACGAAAACAAAGGAAAAATGCTTGTTTTCTAAGAATAGGCTGTGGCGTGTGTCAGTTCAAGGCTGCAGCTACCTTTAAAGTTATGGTCGATTAGCTACGTTAAATTCTAATAAAGGTTTTACTCGATTACTGGCACATTCAGTGGTTGTATTTTGTTTAGAAAACTGATGGAGATCTGTAAAGTGCATTGTTTTCCAATGCCAACTCCAATGCAATTTTGTTCAGGCTTGACGGTGTGGTGTGGATTAAGGGTCGTTACAATTCCTTTCAAAAACAATCGCATATGCTATACGGTTGACAATTATGACACGCTGTAGCACAAAAATACGATACATAACTGATATTGATGCTTGTACATTTACAAATATACACGTATATACCCACTAGCCTAAATTCGACCGTCTGAACGCCTAGCGGCAGTACCGAAAAAAGAAACTCAAAACAATTAATTTTTGGGTTAACTTGTGCTCTGACCTAAGCTAGCTTTTTCAATTTCTCTACCAAAGTAACAATCAATGGTATCCTCGTTACACGTTAAAATGTACGGTAGTCTATATAGCCCTGCCTTCCCTTAGCCTATATAGCTCCCATAAAGGTAATTTAAGATGTTTCAATGTAGTGCCTTTCACAAACCACAATTTGTTTTCAATCTATGTCATTCTATCTAGTTTATCGTTTCCTAATTCAATTAAAAAAGAAAAATAGCGTTAAACTTTAAGGAATGATTTGTACAGCTTATATTTGGGTGATCGGTAAAATGCATGAAATGCAATTTTTCCATAATTTCCCTATGTCAACATTCGTTTCGTCTGAGTGGTGTTTATGAAAACTCGTCCAAACTTGTTTATCTTCTGCAATAGAGTTACTGTTTGCCAAAGACAAGCCTTTTAGTTCGACAACTCACGGCTGTAGCTAAGGGTCACGAAATCAATTAATAATTTGCAGTGTGTCACCATCGCGCTAATAACAAGTGACCAACAGTAAGCGCTCAAACTCGGGAGCATATGAATTGGGAAAAGACATGCTTCCTAGGCTTTCAGTGTGTTCACGCATTAACTTGCTAGCAAAGCCAACTTACATATATTGTATTTCAGTTATTTTCGTAACGATTTAAATAGACGTTGATCAAGTATTAGTTGTACCAACGTCTAGTAATTATGTACGTATATATTTTATATCAAAACGCGCACATCAGTTAGAATCGATACGAGGACTTTGCGGCTTTAGCATAAACACTTTTCCTATCTAAGCGTTGTGGCAATACATCAGGTACACCAACGAATATATATTTAAGGAATATTTGGTAAAAATATCTTCTTCAAACACCTTTTTCTTCGTTGTTTAAAGCTACGCTGAACATTTGTCATTAATTTACGAGCAATTAATGTGTGTTCGCCTTTACCCTGTCGAATGGTGTTCTCGTTTACAGTACTAAGCATTATTACTAAATTGACAGGAATTCGAGATATTACTTTGTTTTGCGTTTATTGATCGGCAGATGAAATCACGACAAATGTTCCAATGGTAAACGCAGGAAGTACGTTAGGATCGGGACCTCTTTGGCGATGGTTGAAGCGGCTCGATCCGTTTTATGAACGGCCTTCCCTTGTTCGGCAAAATTCCCCCATTCGTCGATTCCTCTATCCGTATGTAGTTGTCGCCGGCGTTTGCTGCGTTTATTTCGTGTATGCGGCAAACTCGGCTACGAATCCTCAACACTCGGACAATGAGCCTGCGCCCAGCATTAATCTTGATAGCGTCAAGAGGACAGAGCCAGCGGTCAGTGAAGCGTCATCTTCCGCAAAGCTGCACATGCATCCGACTTCATATATTGAACCGGCGAAGAAAAGTTTCTTTACCCTTATCAGAGATATCGGTGTCGAAGGCGGCGCGAAAGATCAATTCGCAGTTAATGTCAACACCGATGTGGCAATCAAAACAATTTTACTGTGGAATACGTTTTTCAATGAACGTGATTACATTCCACCGTTCGAGAAGATTTGTCCCGGCTATCCATGCCGGGTAACGATGAACCGCACGGAGCAGGCCGATGCCATTATCGTCCATCTTCGAGACATTAACGCTACCGATGTTCCTAAGCGGCAATCTCGTGACGAGGTGTTTGTATTGCTTAATGCTGAGGCGCCTCCGCATGCACCACCTTTGCCCGAGTCATTTAATAATCTCTTTAATTGGACGATAACTTATCGGCAAGATGCAGATATACCTCTGACCAAGAACGTCATTAGCAAGTACGAGTTCATGCCGATCAAAAAGGATTTCCACGTAAACAAGACCAAACTGGCCACGTGGTTCGTGTCACATTGTCAAACGTCAAGTGAACGTGAGACGCTAGTCGCAGAACTTGCGAAATATGGAGTTCATACTGATATTGTCGGTGATTGTGGTACTATTAAATGCGATAGGTCTTCGCCATGTTACGATCAATTTTCAAAAGACCACTTATTTTATCTGAGCTTTGAAAATTCTATCTGTAATGACTACATAACCGAGAAGCTCTTCAACATCCTTGAACATAGTGAGATGGTGCCCATTGTTCTGGGAGGCGCGGATTATTCGCGGTTCGCTCCGCCTGGCAGTTATATAAACGTGAACAAATTTTCAAGTATAAAACAACTCGCCAACTACATACAGCACGTTAGCAATGACCCAGTGCTATATAACAGCTATCATCGCTGGAGGTAAGCGTCCAGAATAGACATGAGTGTAAGAAATCGAACACACTGCGTTATTGCATATTTGCTTTTCATAAACGATCATTTAAATATTCTACTGTAATTATATCGCGCGTAGGATAGGAAAATATATCAGTTGTAAATGTGTCATATGCACAAAACCCAGTAAATTAATGACTTCTACAATCAGCAAAATAGATTTATTATTCAGCGAAGTTCAGTAATCGTATTCTATCGTTTATAGGTAGTTTGTGAGGGCCCTTGCTGTTAGGCGTGAAAATAACATTCCATTAACTAATACGGCTTCGATGTATATAGTCTTGAATATTTAAATAATAAATTATATGGCGCATATTGCTTAGGTTCGCTCACGCAAAGTAACACGTTACCGTATAATTTACAATGCTGCTTGTATCTGTTTGTTGTTTTCACTCCTGCTGCTCTTTTCTGTGCCTTCCATTTGACGACAAATTTTTACAGGAGTTATTATCAACTCCAAGATCCCCTGCACTTCGCCTGCCGCCTGTGTGCAAAGCTACATACGAACTATCGTCGACGGATGTACCAAGACTTCAACACGTACTGGCATAGCAACACTTGTCACGGTAGCTGGAGAAAAGCTTATGATCTGAGATAACATTTCGAACGATAATTGATAGTGGCGTATTAATTGGCGTACTTATGTTTTTGGTACCAGCCAGCATCAAACGTTCACGCACATCCCTACAAAACGAGTAAAGCATTGTTAGTGCGAATAGATATGCCCGAATTCGCTCAGTGCTTATTGTAGTGCCATCAGCCTGTAGGTACGAGCCACGGTTATATTCGAAATGTAAATTAACGAAGATAAAAGCGTGAAAATTTTATTTTTATCTGCTGCTCTTATTTGAAAAAGAAGTATGCTTCTACGATCATCTATGTGTCGGCAGTTACCAGTCGTTTCGTAAGACGTTTAACGCCATGCGCAGTCGTAGGAACGATATAAAGCAAGGCGAACTAAGGAGCGTGTTTTGCGCCGCAATGTAATTCAACGTTCTGTCTTAGGGAATCACGGATCGCTTAGAAGGAACTCATTTACAGGGTAATTGGAAAAGCGTGTTTGCAATGCCCGGCAGAACGGACGAAGAGTCATTGTCGCAAACTTGCAACGGATCAGCAAAAAAAAACGTTTTGTCAGCTGTTATTTTGTCCCTATAGACACATGTGTTCAAGTTAGCAAGGTGGGTACCTTCACAACCGAATAGTTCGCAGGTTAAATCGAGTTAAATACGGAGCAGTATGTACCCTTCCCCTCTGTATCTATAATACAAAGTGCTAATACTATTCCATTAATATCGATTAAATTAAATTTATCAGATTAAACACTACTCATACATAGTTGAGAAGCATATCATGGCAAACTTTGAAAAGCAAAAGGAAATATTAATTTGCTTTCTAAATCGAAAAGACTGTATATGACATATGAGATATATGTCAGCAACGAAAGCCAGTAATAAACACTAGTATTTTTTGGTCGAACCATAAGTAAGGAACTAAGAAACGCAAGAAGCTTTTATAAATATTATTCCTATTATTATATTCAGGTCTTCTAGTCTATCTGAAAATGGTCAGTGATACGTAGATACGGGTAAGGGCAAGTGAGTACATTATAATTATATACGTCTTGCCACAGGCGCGAAGTGACCAACAAGTAACTAAGATTATTATAATGGAAAGATAAACGTAGGGCAATTGAGTTCATTGGACCAAATCCTTTGATAATTTTAAAAATAGATTAAATGTAAATGTTCTAAAGGAAGCAATAAGTGCACAAGCCATTCGAAGCGGTTAGCATAATGAGCTAAATTATTAACTAATTAATTTATTAACTTATTAACTAAGTGACTAAGATGTATTTGCCACGTTGGATTCACCAAGCCTAACATCGACATCGAAACGAAAATGAGCGATTCGTTATAGCGGTGGAATAGAATCGCTTACCTATTAGCACTTGCTCAGAACCTTCTTTCTTGTTAGAAACTTAAGGACAAAGGCATATGTAGATCAGTTTATGCGGCCAAATAATTTCCTTGCTACTGTAGAATTTTCACCTGATAAACCCACGTGGTTCACAATTTAGTTTGGTATTACTTTAAGGCCACACCTTGGATCCAACGAACAACTGCCGTGGATCGACTGTGTCTTTTGATTTTCTACTACCGTGGAAGGTCACAAGTATGTATGACCATCATAATACCTGTTCATATTTTCGATGCCTATTGACACGATACGGTGAGGCGGAGTTGATTCAGTTAACTGAAATAGCTACTAGAAGCACTGAGTTTGCTCGCGTCAGTCCAAGCTAACCTAACAACTTCTTAAGTTACCCCATCTGACGTAAAAATACGTTATTTTCCATAATAGAACCATATATATATATATCGGTTAAATCGAATAAATAATTCAAAGATATCACAGGTGCGTTATACCTTTGTATACTTGCTGGGTTATATTTATTTTTTTTATCAGGGCTGGTGAATTACCTCCTCGCTATTCAGTTGAAATCGTGATCATGATTTGTTCAACACAAAAGTTCAAGGTGTTTTTTCTTGCATTACCTGCCACAGTATTAGTTCGATAAATTTACTTCTTGATGTTGAGGAACCAAAATGTTTTTCCAAAAGATAGATCGATAGGACGTATCAAGTTCACTGATTAGTCGAGAAATTCTAGTGCAACGTTTTTCGGCCCGTTGTATTTTACAGTTTGAATGTACTTTAGAGTAAACTTGTTTGGAGTTATCTCAAGGTCTTGACATTTCACACGATCCAAAAAAATTCTTTTATATTTAGGTCGTTTTCGATTTGTAAGTGTTGAACGAGAGCACACTTTCCTCAATTTAGAACATGTTCACCCGAAATAAAAACACCGCTGTAGTTAAATGAGAAAGGCTTTTTGTCCGTCAACGTTCCTAAATCATCCAGAAATCCAGTCAAGCAGAGTGTGCTTACAAAGAGCAGTGACAGGCCGACCGCAATTAATCGCCATTGTACCAGCCGACGAGGCTGGAAGATTTACGGCATTAGTTAATCGCGAAATGGCTCGTTCATGTTGAATCATCATGAGATTAGTAGCCTCAAGGCGTTCTAAAGCAAGAAGAGTTCTCGGTAATATAAATGTAGAGAAAAGAGTGACGGACAAAAGCAGGCATCAATAGAAAATACAAGCCATTTTCATTATCCATTAGAATTATCCTATAACGCGGACAATTTTTAGGCTAACAGCTGTCCACTTCTTTTATGGAATTTCAGGAAATTTATGTAAATAGTGTTTTTTTTTCCATTTAGTTATCGGCCCATCTAACGTATAGGGTGTTTGCAATGGCTACTAAGGGAAGTATTTAAAAAGCTGTGTGTAAAAATTGTCCAAAAGCTCATGTATTTGGGTTGTATAATTTTATAAACGTATAACATTAAGAAAATCACACGCTGTGTAAGGTTGAGTTTTCAACAAACGAGTTTAAATATTTTTTAAGGTGATGTGACCCGTTTTCGCTGTGGTTTTGAACCTGTTCAGGTGTCTCTATAGCAGATCTAAAAACTTCAATCCCCTGTATTTTTCTATACGCGAAACGAACTCTTTTATAGACCTAACCTTCAATCAATTTAGCGGTTCTCCGCACTTAAATATTGTGGTCTATAAAACACTTGAACTAACTGTTAAGCAATCGAATTAGAGTATCTGCACACCGAATAGATTACTCTAAGTATGTATTATTTGTAGAACTAAGCTATGAACAGCTGTCATGGCTTATACGAATTTCGGACGCGGAAAAATCAAGATATATCCCACAATTGCACAACCCTCACTACAACGCTGGTTAAAACGTTCTAGTTCTTAATAATTAGATCATAGCTACATCTATTAAAATATGGAAAAATGAGAAAAACTTGCAAAAAACTATTTTTTATAGGAACCTTTTTTGACCTATGCGTAAGATAATTCAAATAGAAATTTAAGCCAAGCTATTCTTGGCTTATTTGAGTATTAAACGCAATACGAAACTGATCGCCACAGTGGTGAGGCGGCTCGATGTATCAACCATTAGTGTCTTCAGTTAATCTTCAGCGATGGCTTTGAATTGTTCTATTTCTTAGTAGCATTAGCCCTTTTGTGCTATTTTCGACCAGCATGAAAATCATTGCGTAGCGATACGACGGTTTTACCAGCACGAACTATGAGAACCTGCTGGTTTAGATCCTTTCATGGGCCACCTAGCTCATAATTTGCATGCACAATGGTAATAAAATGCGCGTGTGCTTTCATACAATTATTATCGCTTTTTCTCTTGCTGTATACAATGCAACATCACCAAACAAAGCCTTAATCTTTGCTGGTGCAAACTTGATATTTGTGATGTCATTTTTATCTCAAACGGCCTTTTAAGTTTCTGGGCCTACCCTTAATAATCACCATCTCAAATTGTTTTCTCCGCAAAACCTCAAAAACTAGCGGAATTATGTACTTTTTTCCCGACGTAGTTAAAAATCTTAGCGACGTATCTAATGCAGTCGAAATGTTTAATTGACTACCTTTTGCCGAAGGAAAATAGAGGATATTGATTTATTTTTTCGTATTTCAAGTTCCATTTTTCCGTACATAATTTCTAACCATTATGTATCCCAGATAGTGTAATGGTGTCTTAGAAATGTATTGAAAATTCTTACAAAATGCATATTTCTGATATATTCTTTCTTTATATTGAGTGAAAGGCGCTGAATGGTACAGGCATTGTATGATCATATGGAAATTTTAGGCGACATTCTTTCGTGTCTCTTGCGAATTGTTCAAAAATCTCGCAGCTCTATTATGTGCTTATTGAACTTAGGTATCACGCCTATTTTCATTTTTTAGAGGAAATAAGAAAATGTGGCATGTGGCCTTATTTAATTAATGTAGGAGCAATCACGGAACAGAGATTTCCTGAATTTTAATAGAAAAAGTAAGTAGATTGAATTTTCGCCTAATTTTCATAGGTTTAGGATTTTTATAAATAATTTGGTAATTGATGCACGGTATGCAAAAAGTAATCAAACGAAATACAACTCATTAAAATTAATTTAATAAACGTTTTTGATAGACGTCTGAAAAAGATCTCACTCGAGCAAAAAGTTGTTCTCATTTGCAAATCGATCAGCTCGTTGCTTCTCATATCATCTCACGTTCACTAATCTATCCTTGTTAGAATCCTTATTAGGTCTGTCCTTATTTAAACCTAAAATACTTTTCCACTTGCACTTTCAAACCGTTTAGAACCTACTTTGAGTAGTTCTCAGTCTTCGCTCGTTAGAAACTTCTACGCATGCCATCCCCCATTTTGCTAGATGGCTTTGGACTATACAATAATGCACAATTCCACGGTGCTTGTGAACCGTGGTGCTGTCGTTTTCTTAGTCAGGAGTGTCGTTTCATCTCTCTCAGCTGTAGATACTTACCAGCTGCTTTGGTTTCTCATCGACAAAACTGCAGAAAATAGATAACCTATAAATAACGCAATATCTCCATAAGCCCACCATAAAAAAACTTACGTTGGTCCCGTAAGAACCTACAGACGAGACACGCGTCTGATGTATCGCAGTTTTTAAAGGCGTTTAGACTGTTTATGAAGACCTTCTGATTAAACTCACGGATGCTTTATGAAGAATAACTTATAAGAACACGCTAACGGTTCTAACTTCAAATGTTCTAAGCTCTAACCTTTGACTGAATCTATAGGTTGTTGGCGAAGGCGATACGGGCATTTGGATCAATTGAGTCATCAAAACAATTTCGGCGGCATCATTCTTTCGTGTACTTGTACCACAAAATTGTGTTTATAAATCGTAGTAACAGCAACTGCCAACTGAACTTCCTCTCGCCTTCGAATTTCGCAAAGTAGTCGCGTTTTTTTCAGCGAAGGATTTTGCGAGAGTTATCGATGAAAAGTTTTACTATGATTTCATCGTCAAAGGGAAGCTTCTCGAGTTAACTGATGGCCGTATAAGGAAAAACTAGCAAGGAATATATATGAGGGATATATATACGTTCGGAAACCATAGGAACATCGTATTCTTGTGTGTAAGTAATTCTCCCATAAATTGATCTCTAGTTGAGGCTAACTATTTTAGCTCTTAAATTTTGCTCTCTGAATAATTATGCTCTATTTAACGTTTTTATGTTTTTTACTTGTTATGTAGCTAAAATTAATATATATATATATATATATATATATATATATATATATACCATAGACATTACTATATACCGAGGTGTTATACATAATAAAAGCCTTCACAAAGCAATACGTTCCATTTGGTAGAAACTTATTAAATGTGCTTAGTAGCTTTGTTATAAAAAAAACCGCAGTTTCGCTGATTTTTTTTCTAAAAAAATAGATTAATTCTGTATTAAAGCTCATAAAAGCGAACTAACTAACCAACTAGATCTCGAGTGATAGAATTAATAAATATAGACTAAACTGGTAATCAGTTCATAAGTTAGAGTTCGCTCTGATCATGTCCGCAGCGCGAAGAAACTTGTGAAGTTGAAGGTGAAGTTATTAGTCAGTACAAATGCAAGCGACAGAAATGAATAGCACAACATTTCTGTTAAATAGAATAGTTTTCGATTTAACAGGAGAACTAGAGTTGGTTAGTTCATCGATTTAAGCTCTGGTTCATATTTTTATCAATTTAAAATCTAGTTAAACATTTTAGGAATTCAAATCCAATAGTTCCTATTATTCTTTACGGAGGTTCGTAAAGCATAACACACAAATCATTATATTATTTCAAACAAGCAGAGACAACTTAAATCGATCGATAGATCAGTCGCAACTTTTCTGTCTTGATGACATCTTCACTTTGAACCTCGAGTTCTCTCGAATCACCCACAATGCCAACTACTGTTGATAGTCTACTAGTCGGATGCATTCGTTAGACCTTAGTCATTATTGTGCACATTTATCGCTCTCCCGGCCTGCCGAAAAAAACCGCGTAGGGCATAAATCATTGCTATGTAGTGAAGTTATCAGGTCATGCGGTACATCTCATAATCGTGTTTATTTACCTCGGGACCAAATGCAATTAGTCGCTCCTTTACGATAAAAATGTTAAGTACAGCCTATGTAACAAGCGTGTCTCTCTGCTGAGAAGCAATAGATGTTTGACCCGTTTCAAGTGCCGTAAGTGGTAAAACTTTAAGGTTCCATAGACGGAAATAAGGCACTTCTACTCAGTTTGATGTCAATCTAAATGCGTTAAATGCTCATCTGATGACTCAGTCAAGCAGATATAGTTAATATGACTTGCTTTCATTAGGCGGAACACAAATAAACCGTATTAAATATAATCAAGTAAAAAATTCTGATATTTCAAAGATCGTCAGTGTTTCAATTCTGCTTGCGATACTTATATCAACAGTGTTCATCATATAACATGCGTAGACATACGCGCTAATTTTGTTCCATGTTTATATATAAGTCCTTACCCGTCTAATAATAAAGGGTATGTGGTGCAAATACCAAATAGCCACTTTACCAACGCCTCAGCTTTCGTTTAGTATAAATATTTCGTCTATATTTATCATGAACTTTGCTACTCCCTTCGGATTGCTCATATTGAACCCCCTACTCTGACAAAAGGCCCTTCAAGCAATGCTAAACGCCGCTATTGAAGCCTGTTAGAGAATCAGCTACCGAAAGATTTTTCACGCCGGTAGCGGCATATGCGTTCCTGTTCAGTTCCTGTTCACACACAAGTTACGACATAGGTCTGGTTTTAAAAATATTGCAAACAATCATGGAACCTCTCTGTCAGGGTTGGCGGCTGTAGATGGAACGCTAAACTAAATCTACCATGAGGTAAGGAAAAGAAATATGTTTAGATAAAAGAATATAGCTTTTTGTTTGGTCTTTTGCCTCTTTGCAGTTATTTGGGCCACAAACACTTTGCGTATATGTAAAAGCACACGATTCTAAGATTATTACCATCGATCGAAATGAATTACTGTAAAACGTAATAACAAGCTGACAGTAACGCCAAACACCCATCAACGAGAATATATACCGTACGAAAAGGGCGTGTTATGTCTGATTACAAACTATCATTAGTAACTAATCCCCAGGAAAGTTATGTTTTGCGCTTAAACACAAAATGGCAATATGAAAACAATTGGTTCTACGTACGAAAACAGTTTCTGGGAACACTCTACTAAATACGCACTTAAAAGTAACTTCTGATTGTTTCACTGACAGCTGCACGTTTCAAGCCTACTTGTATGCTACTGTTTGGTATTGTGATTTGCTATCTCATTTTTCTTTTTCATTATGTCAAAAAATGCTTAGACAAACGTTCGAAGAAATACTCGATTATAGACAATTAACTGAATTATTAAAAGAATAAGCTGTATCGCACGAAGACATCTAGATGTAGCAGAGTTTCATTTCGGTGACCGGTGTAAAAACAGGAGCGATGTTCAACAACCGTTCCGAACCATAGGTTAAAGAGTGAATGAATTATTTGGTTTGTTTGTTTCCTTGGTTGTTTGTCTGCTTTTTGTTTGTTCGATTCTTTTTTGTTTGTTTACTTTTTGTTTGTTGAGATATATAGCATATATCGAGGAATTCTCGTTATCATATATAAATATCAGTTATAGGTGCCAGCAGAAAAGGTCATTTGTCTATCAAGATTGAATTTGAGAACGAGCATCCGTGATTATTCCGCCTTCGATAAGACAACGTATCCTATAAAGCTAACATTTTAAAGACATACAATTAAATAACACTAAAATATAGCTGAAGAGTACGAAAGATCGTGTCTAACAGACATCAATGGCGGCGCAAATGACACAGCGTCATAAGTAATATAGATTGTATGTATTTTGCATTGTGATGTACAGGGTGTCCTCCGATATTTTCAATTATATTTGTTTTAGATGCAAACTCCTTGGATCTATGACGGATGGGAACAGTCGACGCTTCCATGGTAATCGAACCTTCGAAGGCCCTGCTTGGTCTCTACAGTGAGATGGCTTACGACGTCAGATTGGGGCGTTCTATAACGACTCACGACCATTTGTTTTGTAACGCCTACCCATTACTATTTTCATATGGATATGCTACAGAGCTTCGTGCGGCAAGCATCAAATGCTCCGAGCATTGGTCGTGCTGATTAATTTTAGCAAGATGAGGTTGAACCCGATAAAACACGGGGAACACTTTTTATATTCATGTATCGATTACACAAATATACGTTTACTACCTATATTCCTATGATCGTATTTCCATTGTACCGCCAACCTAATGTTACATGATGCGAATTTTCTGAGGAACACTGCTGTTTTAGTCACTATGCCATCTTTCATTCGGCCTATAATATAGCGGCAAGGTAAAACAGCTCAACATTTCGTATTTTCTGACTGCTCACTCGAGATTTTTGATTCACACGGAAGTCGACTTAGAGAGGGCAGTAGAACGTCACTTGCTGACAGTCTCGAGATGAATCCGTTTGTTATGAATTTCTTTTTTTTTTTTCCGTAATGTTGGCACTCTTCAAGTTCTTTAAGCTGCTCTACCAGTATTTGAGGTGTTGTTCACTTTTGCTTGGCTATAAACATGTCCAGGCGTGTTCGTCATAAAACGATTGCAACGGTTCATTTGCTCATTTATATACTTTTTTCCTAAACCTTACTAGGTCTTCGAGACAAATTGAGAATTCGGTTCGACAGCCGCCAGCTATATATGTATGTATGTATGGGAAGGAAAGTACAGCTGCTATAGCGTCTAATATGATCTCTGCATAGCCTGTAATTTTTGAGCCAAAACGCTGAAAATCTACAAACAAATGCACCTACATATCTCTATTCGAACTAAAACAGTCTAATTTATATATATGTATATTCTCGTAACTTCGAAAGATGATGTTTACTTTTATTTTAGTGTCTTGTTCTTATTACATACGACACTGGATAAAAGCGAAGCGTCGTTATTATTAATATTGTCGTTATTATATTACTATCGAAATAAAAGTCCAAAGCAATGGTCAGTCTCGGTGCTTGCTTGCCGTTCAGACTTCCACGCAATCTGAATTGTTAATGCTATCTTTACGACTTATCTTGTTAAACTCTTCCCTCTGTACGTCCAATGATTTCTCCCTGCTTGTCGTCATATTTCTCTCCCTCTTTCTTTCCCTTTGTCTGTCTCTCTTTTTCTATGTTTTTCATTTATCTCTTTCTCTCTTTTTGGCTATTCCTCTAGATCGCCGTATAGTACAATATTTCTGACTATGGAAGCTGTGTACGATTTTACCGCACACGAGTATGAACATGCGCCACGCGTTTTGCCACCCTATTGCCGTTTCTGCTATCGATCCCACCGACGCATGGCTGGATTGCCGCTATGGCGTCTAGTCACCATTTGTTATTAGCATCATTACGTCACCATCTTCTATTATCACTGTTGTTGCCCTATCGTTATCTTTACCCATGTGGTACCATCGTGCCATACCACATATTTCGCTGACAGGACACACTCGAGGAGTGCTTACGTACATACTTACTTACTTACTTAATGATAAGTCATCGGTGAACGCTGTCACACGAACCACCGGCCAACTGCCAACCGGATGGCTAGAAAATAGGCGATTGACTGAGTGGTTCGCCGCCACGAACTTATTCCCCGTTTGCATGTTTTCATCATACCTGTTCTCGTGGTTATGAC